TACAGACTTAGCAATGAGGAGTGCCTTCCATGTTAAAAACAGCTTTAAAGCATCTGTTACAAGGAGAAAATGTAGGACAAAACTATGTACACCTAAATGCAGATCATGTGAGGTGCAGGGACTACATGCAGACAACAGCCTCGAAGTGCAGGCAGCTGTATGTCTCAGGCAGAGTGGGAACACCGAACTGCTGCTCACCTAGGCAACATACCACCCTCACCTGTTAACCTGTACTGCCACCCTCCTCCACCCCTCTGTTTTCCTAATTTACCTTCACAGAAAATTCAAACTATGTTTGATACAATGAGAATTCAAGTCATGCTGAGTCTGCAAACAGCATGGTAACTCTTTCAAGAGAGACAAAGTGCACAAGAGAATAATCTATACGCATCTTACTGATGCCTCTGTTCAATCCTTTAACCTTTAAGCATGTGGTAGATCACTTGCAAGAGGCAGTTTTGAAAGGCACTTGAAGCACAAGGCACTGTATTAGTGCAGATAACTGTATCAGCAGCTTTAAAAGCATTCCCAACCTAGCTGATGGGATAAAACTTCACTGCAAGATGTGGGTCACTGTATGTGACTGTGCTTTCTCACATCTGATCACTGACACAAGAAGAGAAAGCCATGCAGGTAAGTGCTCTAAGATGAAATTCTTCTTTGTCCCTGTAGCATCACGTAGTATTGGCAGGAGTTCCTCTCCTTTGCAGTATTCTTTCATATGGGAGCTTGTGATTTAAAAAAATTGATCTCAAAATCTTGAAATAAAGATTTAATGATTAGAATTATTAAATTATTTATCAAGATTTAATAATTTGAATTATTAAATTAGCCTGGTTATTTGAACATGTTTTGCCTTCAAAGTGCTATAGCATTCTCTCTCAATTTTGAAAATTGAGTCATGAGGAGCTAGTGCTGACCTACAGGAACTAGGCTGAAGTCTTCCGGCTATAAAAAATTCCATCAATAATAGATTTGAAGTGGAGCCTCTTTAAAGGTCAGCTTTCTTCAGCAGCTAAACATCACTGTTTCTGAGGGCATGACTGGGCCAACAGAATTCCTTTCTTTAATTCCTCCATATAGGCATGTCCACCCTTGCTTTGTCTTTCTACTCAAACATGCAGAGAAATGACATGTTAATTTCAATGTCTGAACAACTGTATTAGAACCAAAAAAAACCTGAAGGTTAATTTAAAGCAAAAACTGCTTTAAAATTTGCTGCAAGGAGAAACTTGGATGGGAATTTTCAAACATCAAAGAATTAAATACTCAAATCAATATAGATTAGGTGCTGACCTTTTCAAGTCCCTTCTAAATTTTTTAAATATAAAGACACTGATTAAGTTAAATTCTTTAAGGAAAGGTGGCAAGAAAACATTATCCCTGATTGGAGAAGGGCAAAAAAAAAAGAAGCAAATATCAACCAGCAAACCTCCTCAAACTACTGTGTCCTCCCTCTGTATTACAAATGTCTAGACTAGCCTTAGTCTTGTGTCTACACACCAGTAATGAAGCTGGATCATTCCTGTTTTCATTCCACCTGTAAGAAACTTCTTTTGTATCTTTAAAAATGTTCAATATAATCCAGTATTTAAAATCAATCTAGGGAAGATACCATACATAAATACAGTATATCAGAAGGAATAACCATAGTGGCAACCTTTCAATTTCCATGGAAACCCTAGTGGAACACAACTCACAAATCCTAGAGACACAAATCTCTTAAACCTATATAAATCCATGGTTTGAAGATGCAGCCTATGAACAAAAAAAGAGTATAAAGCACCAATATTCAGACAGATCTATCAAGCAGAACTGCTGGTGCTCCTGATGCACAGAATCCCTTGATGCAGAGTCAGCCTGTACAGCATCCTCACAGCATCCCAGGGGTGCCACACTAAGAACAGCCCCCACAAACAACTCACCACAGCAGTGACAGAACTAATTTGTAAATCTTCTTATGCAAAGTTTTTAAAATATAAAAATATACCAAAGCTATTAATAACAACAACAACAACAACAAAATTTTCAGCAAGACACTTAGAATCATAGAATCATAGAATCACAGAATAGACTGGGTTGGAAAAGACCTCCAAGATCATCAAGTCCAACCCCTGATCCAACTCCAATTACTATATCATGGCACTAAGGGCCATGTCCAATCTCTTTTTAAAAACTTCCAGGGATGGTGAATCCACCACCTCTCTGGGCAGGCCGTTCCAATGCCTGATCACCCTCTCTGTAAAGAATTTCTTCCTAACATCTAACCTAAACTTCCCCTGGCAGAGCTTGAGCCCATGTCCCCTTGTCCTGTTGGTGGTTGCCTGGGAGAAGAGACCAACCCCCACCTGGCTATAACTTCCCTTCAGGTAGTTGAAGAGAGTGATGAGGTCACCTCTAAGCCTTCTCTTCTCTAGACTAAACAACCCCAGCTCCCTCAGCCTCTCCTCATAGGACTTGTGCTCAAGTCCCTTCACCAGCCTGGTTGCTCTTCTCTGGACCCGCTCCAGCACCTCAATATCCTTCCTGAACTGAGGGGCCCAGAGCTGAACACAATACTCAAGGTGCAGCCTCACCAACGCAGAGTACAGGGGAAGGATCACTTCCCTCCTCCTGCTGGACACACTGTTCCTGATCCAGGCCAGGATGCCATTGGCCTTCTTGGCCACCTGGGCACACTGCTGGCTCATGTTCAGCTTCCTGTTGATCAGCACCCCCAGGTCTCTTTCCACCTGGCTGCTCTTGCGGGCTGGGATGGCAGTACAGAAAAGGAGGTCCACACAGCTGTCACTGTGTTATTAAAAAAAAAAAACAAAAAAACCCAAAAAAAACCCACAAAAAAACTAATAAGAAAAAAAAATCCAAGCAAAACCACCCCCAAAACAAAACACAGAAGATGAAAACAAAAAAAAGCAAAATTGGGTATGAGTTGAGAGAAAGTCTCTGATCTCTTCCACGTTATTCCCTACCAGCCCAAGGCAAAATCTGAGACTTTAGAAAAAGAGCATTAAATCTCAAGGTGAGACATTACATTGGCAGCTGATTTGTTGATTCTTTCCTCAAAGCAGGCATTAAAAACTGTTTCAAGGATAACTTCCTAGGGCTGAGAAATATCCTGAATGCAATACCACATTAACCTGGCCTGACCGACTTCCATACTTTAAGGCCTTTCCAGAACCCCGAAAAAACCAAAACCAATCCCCAAAAAACCCCCAAAGAACAAAAACAGAGGTGCCTACTTCCTGCAGTCTCTGTACATCTGATAAGCTACTCCTTTTCCCTTTTGCTTCCTGCTACCTTTCAACTAATGCATGACTACTTCTATCTTAATAATGTATTTTCAATTTCTTCTTGATTAATATTGAGCCAATTAGTTTACTCTTAATTGCCAGTGCAATTACATGAATTTCAGTAATTCTTCCGTATATTCATCTAGTGTTTGACACATTTCACATTGAATGAAGAGTGGCATATGCAGCTGAGCATCCAAAACTAATACAGACAGGGAGGAAGAAAAAAAATCAATCCACTGTTTTAGGGTGTGAGAGGGTTACAAATTAAATGGTCTGAAACCTCACACAGCAATATACTCTAGGTCTGCTTCGTTTGAAATCTGAATACATAACTTTTACGTTTGACCACACTACTTTATCAGAAATGCTGTGAAAAATACTTGGTGTGGAATCAGGGAAATACACTGGTGAACGGGCGGAACTCAGATAATACCCCAATTTGTTCTCTTTCAAGTAGGCACAAAACAAAATGTCTCTCCCAATGACTCTGTCACACTTCCTAATGTTTTGTGCAGAAATCACCCTGTTACAATGACAATGTAAGAAAACTAGAGGAAAGCAGATACCCAGCTTTAGAGTAGCAGACTTGCAAGTGTATAGAAATTCAGTCACTGTGAACACAAATGAAGTTCAGCTACAAGACAGAGAGTAAGACAAAAATCATCTTCGAATTGTTAGTGACATTTTAATGTTTGTTCTGTAAAGTAAATCAGATTCTGTGTGTCTCTGTGTTCCCTTAAGAAAATGCTCATCCAACCAACCAGTTAATTCCTTTCAACACAAGGGAGGGAAAGAAGTGAACCATTTTGAATTCTTGTCTCCAATGAATTTTGGAAAGATGATACAAATGTCTTCTAATTTGCTTAGCCCTGAACAGCATCAAGGTGCAATTTCATTCATTTTTGTAATTACACAAGAACACTTCACTTCACTTTACATGATGAAGCAATCCCAGGTGAGAACTACTTCAGGTTCTCTGTTAAAATTTAACTCTGGAATGCTTACTGCCATCACAGAACTAGAATTTCAGGAAATTCTAGCACAGATTACATGACTGCTGTGAAACTCAAAACCACAGATAAAAATCCATCTCAAATACCATCAGTCAGTAACACAGAACTTTTGCTCATTAAAAAAATTATTAAAGAAAAAAAGGGAAAATCAGGGGGATAAACCTTAGTAATTTTAGATTATAAAATACAGAATTTCGACTGTACTGATAATCTTTACAAATTACTCAGCACTGTCTCAAAAATGAGACTGAGTGAAATAAACTCATTCTCAATCTCAAATACTGTGAATGTATACAACTGAACTTGACAGTAGAAACTGTGACAGGACTTTCAGAGGTGACAACATTCGTTTTAGGGGAAACACCATTTGGCTGCCACCAAGCAGAATACATTTGGCTGACATGTCCATTCAGGCAGATGATTTAGATATCTGGATGTTAATCAAGACATACACATTAAAATTGTTATCCTTCGAAGATTCAAAGATTACAATGCAAATACCATGAGCTTTCCAGAAAATTAGAGTCAAAACTTAACAACGAATACGTGCCTTTAAAATGAAAAAGTTGAAACTTCAGGTATAAATTCTGTAGTTCTAAATGAAAAATGAAATTACACTTTGATATACAGACACACACCCACACCCTGCCACAGTAACATTTCTATATACATACATCAAGTTTTGAAAGATTACCTGGTAAAAATACCATCCACAATTCCAATTGTCGCCTCCTCTGCGGGAACATAAGAACCGATCTGTGCCATGACTGTGATCAAGGCCACTTGCTTTATGTAGGAGCTCTTTCCTCCCATGTTAGGCCCAGTTATTATCATGACCCTTTCACCATCTCCCTGAAAACACAAAAGAGAAGTCAAATATATTGTCTTGCATGTGGTGCTTCCATAAGAAAGTTTGGTATGTGCATCTGCTTAGAAGGATGTAGGAGAAGTCTGCAGGACTAAACTTCCTGTTCCTCACATTTGCTTTTCCACATATTATGAAATCCCAGATGCTCTTGAGCAAAACAGACACAGTGAGGGGAAACCTTCCTGTTCTCCATCAAGGAGTCAAGAAAGCATCCAAGAACTTGGTCCCCAGCACAGGAAGGACATGGAGCTGCTGGAGCGAGTCCAGAAGAGGCACCAATGATCAGAGGGTTGGAGCAGCTCTGCTGTGAGGAAAGGCTGGGAGAGCTGGGATTGTTCAGACTAGAGAAGGCTCCAGGGTGCCCTAATTGCGGCCCTGCAGGACCTGAAGGGAGCTGACAGGAAAGATGGAGAGGGTCTATTTAGAAGGGTCTGCAGTGACAAGACAAAGGGGAATGACTTCAAACTGACAGAGGACAGCGTTGGATGGGATATCAGGAGGAATTTATTCCTTGTGAGGTTGGTGAGGACCCAGCACAGGTTCCCCAATGAAGCTGTGGCTGCCCCATCGTGGAAGTGTCCAAGGCCAGGTAGAATGTGGCTTGGAGCAATCTGGGATAGTGGAAGGTGTGGAACTGGATAAGCTCTGAGACCCCTTCCAAGCCAAACCATTCTGGGATTCTGTGCAATTTTCTTTGGAGAAAAGCAGAAACTCATGACCTCTCAGCATAGACAGAGCTGTCCTAATTTGGCTGTGATCTGGACTCCTCTCCAGCTGCAATTCTCATTGCCAAATGGAGAGATCTGACAAAGACCTGACCTGGATTTCACACTCATAATTGCCTGCCTTGGTATGACATAAGTATACTCAGACTGGCTACAACAAGAAATGAAGATATTGCTGAGTTTGGCAATATTTGACTGCAACACAAATACTGTCAGCAGACTGTACCAGATCAGTCTGTGTAGCTGACCACTGAAACCACACAGAAAGTTAAATCAGATGAAAGAACTCATCTCAGCTGTAAGACTTCCTACTCCAGAATAAAACTGCGCTCCTCTAGTGTAAGACAATTGGTGACACAAAATTAAAACTCACCAATGAATCTATAAAGCTTTCTCAGAGCCCAAATACAGACTAGGAAATTAAGTTATGCAAGGATATCACAAAGGTACTCTTTTCCTTTCCCCTGGGTACATCCAAAGAAATGCACCAACTGAGGAACTGCACAAAAGTCAGCACACTCCACTGCCCCAAGGGAGGGGCATGGACGGCAGGACAAGCTGTATTAGTCACACTGCTTGGGAAACTTGGAACTGATCAGGCACTGTGAAAACAACCACCAAAAAAATCTCTATGGAAAAAGTCTCAGGATCTATACAGATTTGACTCTTGATGGGGCTTTCATTCTGTTTATAGAGACACACACAAAGTTCAGATAGGACTGTCACTTATGTCATAGTACAGAAGAAACAGAAGATATAGGCATCCAGAATTAATTATATGTAAAAAGCTGTTCAGTTTTTGCAAAGCAAACCTCATCCATACGGAAGTTGTGATACAGTGAAAATTCAGAAAATGTCACGATTGGGAATAAAGGATGAATGTAATAAAATGCACATGACTACATGAGAACAAAATGTATAACATTCTAGTCTACAGGGTACAGTTTTAGTGCTGCTACTAAAACTTTGTCAGTGCTCAACCCAACACAACTTAAAGCCAGAATGAGTTCACGACTTCATTTGTTAAAATCCACAAATCTCTTGCGTGTGTTTGGTATCTGTCCAGGCTCCCTCCAACCATGCTGTGACACTGGTAGCTGGTTTGCAAATCTTGTGGTTTTCAGAAAGAACATCTTCTGTAAAATCAGGGCAGAGAACACATTGTGAGATCTGGGATCCGAATCTCACTGAATTATTGATATGGGTCAGAACCAACTCACTGTGAGTGTGTGTGAGTGTGTGTGTGCATGTGGGAAGGGCTGGGCCTGTCCCTGCAGTCCATGGTAAGGGCTGCACACCAGGGCTGTGCTGAGGGCACAGGGCAGAGCTGCAGGCCCTGCAGGGCTGTCAGTCAGGGCTGAGCTGCCTGGTAGCCCACCCACACCACAGCCCTGCAGCCTGGGAGTGGTTATAGCACAGTGGTTAGAGCACGTTGCTCTGGCCTGGAAGGCACTGACCGGATATCCTGCCTGGGAGGGAAAACTGAACTCTATAAATATACAGAACTTCATGTGGTCTCCCTGTCTCTCTCTTCTCTCTCTCCAGCCAGCATCATGTGAATCATCGAATCTTGTCATTAACTGTTCTCCTCTCCTTTCTCTCTCTCCTTCTCTCTTTCTTCACCCTTTAATCTGTTTTCTTCTGTTGCTCTTTTCCTTCTCTTGTGGGTAACTTAAAACCAATGAACTGTGTTTTACTAGAGCTGGTACATGGATAGTTTTTAGTGAGTGTTTCCTGTTGAATGGGTCATTGTGCTGAATGTTTTAGTGAAATGCTTTTTTCTTGGTCGTATTTTACTCCTTTTAAACCTTTTGCCAAAATATCGTACTTTTCTCACTAAATTAAATAGAATTTCTCTTAGAGAAGAGTGTGTGACTCTTTCTCTGGATGCAAATTAGAGGTTATAATGAGCCAAAAGGCTTTTAAAAAGTCTTAAATAAAAATATAACTGCATTGGGCAGTTCATAACTTAATCCAGAACGCAACAACATCTGCCCTTACAACTGCACACAGCCGTAAGCCAACATCTTATTGGAATTCATGGCTGAAGTTAAAAGTCTAAAACAATCCCTGAACATTTGGAGAGGAGAAGGGGAGTGGAAAAATAATATGTTTATTTCAGAGCACTGCAAGAAAGCTTTTCCTCAAGTTAGATATTTGACAATATTTCATCCGAAAACATGACAGGAGATGTATTTTCCTGCTGGTTCAAACACATCAGTTGAAAACTAGAGACGTTTTACCACACTAGTTCCCACCCACCACCTCTCTCAAGAAAGAGAAAACTCAAACAACAGTAGAGGCAAAAGTGATTCTGCTGTGATTACTTGATTTTGTAATATTCAGTATTTAGAAAAACAACATAAGAATGGGGCTAAAGAGGGAAAAGTGGATGATGATTACTGAATGAAATGCTGAATTTTTTTGTAAGTGCCATCTGTCACTTGTTTGGAGTTGACAAATAATTTTGAAAAAATTCCCAGCAGTATTGCAAAATATCTGTATCGTTGTTCAGTATAGAACCTCATTTAAAAATATCTTCCAAGAAATATATACAAATTTGAATGCTGTTTATCACAGAAATGTCCCACACTGACAGCTGTTTCATACCTTTTCCGTATTAACTGTATAAAAAGGCAGAGAGAGTTCAGTGTTAACTTGCAAGGATATCTTTAATATTCATTAAGAACAGATGTTTATTATTTAAAAAAAATATATAGACGGGAGGATGTAAAACCTCCAATAGGTAATTTAAAAGACAGATTTTAGTTTATCAGGAAAAAGAAGTCTGCATCACATTAACACTTTCAGAAAGAAAGGAAAACACTTAGTAGAGAAATAATTAAAAAATACAGGAACAATCTTAGAATCAAGGTGGAAAACTGAGCCTGTCACATCTGTTTTGCATATTAAAAACTCCACAATTCTGAGAAAAGATTTTGACAAAATTAAGACTCCTTCTGATTACACCATTAAAACCCCTGTAATTATTAATTTGTTTTCAAAAATAACCATTTAAAACATATATTTTCCTAATTTTGCGATACCTGTTATTTACGCCATTAAGGCTGAACAAGGTTGTAAAAAGAGTGTCTGAAATACAACCAAGCAGACAGCTGTATGATTAAATTACTTATTCTAACTTCCTGACCAAGAAGGTGATCCGAGACTCCTTCCCTTGAATGATTTTGGAGTATCTTGGTACTTACTGAAAGGTTAGTGGTATTTGGAACATACTGATCCTGTTCCCCCAGAAGTACATCAATCACAGGGTGCCTCCCATTTTTTATAATTATTTCTTGATGATTATCTTGCACGATTGGTCTGCAAAAAGGAAAATATATTAATTCTAATTTATTGTAACTAATAATTTACTGAAACTAAAGCCTGCAGAAGGGTCTTCTATGATGTAGATTTTTGTGGAAAAATCCCTCAAATGATAAAAATTAATTATTGCCATTAAGTATTTCTAAAGACTTCCTTAGTTTCGATCAGTTATAAAACAATATATTAGCAGATTGGATAAGGAAATTCCACCTTAACTGCAAATTTGTCTACAAGTCTACTAACATAACATTTCTAATTCTTCACTACATATCTCTATGTCTGCTCCATCTCCAAATACTGAATGTTCTTCACAGAACAAAACCTGAAAAAGAACCACGTTCCACTGAATTCTTTTAATTTGTTTTGTTCTCTGCAACCTACTTTTTCTTTTCCATTGTAAACTGAATTGCAGCACTCAGTGGAGATGTAAATGCAGTTCCATGTCTCAGCAACATTTTCCTAACCCAGAAGTACAAGCACTCTGAAATAAGAGCAGCAACTTATAGGGAAAGGGGCAGGAGCCCTGAGAAAAAGAGGATGCAATTTAGAAGGAAAAAAAGAGATGAAATAAATGCCATATTAGAAACACAAAGCACTGAGGAAAGAAGTGCAAACTGATAATGATGGGTTTTTTCCCAGCAGTTGTATAGCTGAGATGAAACCAATATATAGACAGACTGGGGCCTTGCACCACCTTTTCAACAGCATCCCTTAAACCACTCACAGCCTGGAGAGTGGACACCCAAACATTAGATGATGGTCTCTGGACTACAAACACCATTACCTTTATGTCTCTAACACTGATGCCTGAGAGCCCTGATGCTGTAAATCATCTGTGTAAAGGGAGAGTGTCCCAACCCAGGGATCCTCAAATGCCTTTGGACTGTGAGAGGCTCTCCCCCACAGCTGTGCAGAGCACCTGTGCTTCTAACCTGGCTCACTCACCTACCTCAGGCTGGGCTATAGGAAACAATCCTCACTGAAACAAAAAACATTCCTTAATTCCTTAATATTACAGTCCTAATCTTTCCTTCAGCAGCCCTCCAAAATTAATTAGTGACACCTTCCCTACAGCTGAAGTTTCACAGACAAGTCTCCTTCCAGCCAGTTTATAAGCTCTAAGCCACTCTAAAATTCAGTTAATTATTTAAACCCGGGCATAATGAATTAATCAGACTTCAGTTTGTTTTCTCATTTGAGTATACAGAAGTAAGTGAGCAATTACTTTCAAAGAGATTTTAACAGAGGCACACATAATCCCAGGAGTCCAGAGGTGATCAATATTATGTTTAAAGACATATAACAGCAGAAGTACATGTAAATTGAGTTCTCTTCATTTGCCTGTCTACGTGTGGGTCTTGGGCAAGGGCAAGTGCACAGCTCAGAACCCCTGATCCCAGGTGAGGCACTCTCTCTCCTCTGAAAGCTGGAACTAATATTTACCTATTATTTATCTGAAATACATCACTGAAACAAACCTCAAATACCTGAGAAACGTAGGTATTAGAAAGATATTATAAATTCAGACCTTGCTGAGAAAAAAAAAAGGATAAAGAGAAGTTCATGCAAAGTCCAACATTCATTTATATATAAGTGAGATATCATCCACTAGACTCAGGTCAAAAAATAAGCATAATTTGTTTGTTGATTTGTTAATCTGACATAACATGTAAAATTTGAACTACAATGTTTACAGATTTGTGTTTTGCCCAGAAGTGTTGTTTTGCAAAATCAGATTAAGTTGAAACTACAGTAAACAGTTTTAATAATGCATTTTATCATAGTACACATATTAAAATCTAATCTATTTTAAATACCCTCTTATAATTCCCTAAACAAATCCCAAATAAAAATTAAAAATTGATTACCTGCAGTAGTCTCCTTGTTTAGCCACCTGGGCCAGAGAGAACAAGCAGTCGACAGTTGCTAGGTGACCAATAGCTTTAGACACAGGGTGATAATGTTCACTGAAATGGCTGTACCAAAACAGGGAAAAGTAACAGAAGAAAAGGGAAAAAAAATAATTCTGCACAGATACAGAAGGATTGTCAAAATACACCCCATGCAAGTTCTTCACTTCACTGTGATTGCTAAATCACTCTGAATTCAAATCTCCCAGCAGTGATTTAGACTACAACAGGAGGACACAATCAAGATGGACTTTACGACATACTAACAATGAATTATTTTTAAGTGCAAAAAAATCAGACAAAAATTAAATTCATTACGTAGCATATTAAGGTCAGCAGTTGCTTCAATGAGGTCCGTAAAAATGCCACAATTTATCACAGTGGCAACTGAATCCCAATTGCTGGTTCAACTTCAACCGTAAATTACAATCAGAAAAGAACCAAACTAAGAGTGTCTGACACAGGAGCTGTCTACAATTTCAAAAAAGTATGGTATCTACAACAGAAAATTCAAGAATTAATTTTCATTTTATGTATTCCTTCCCCAGCACAATAATGACATTACCAGGGGAACAGAGTTTTCAGTAAAGTTCATTCTGTTCATCCTCAAGAATTTGTTTTTTCCCCCTCTCCTAGTCTCAAAGGTACAGTATAGAATATAAAACCAGCAGGGAAGCAAAGTTTAATAAACAAAGACATAAATGAATGGAGGAGTGGGAAAGGAGAGCACTTTCCTACACCCAGGTCTTTCCTTGTTGTCTGCTATTATACAACATTGAAAACAGCCAAGGGAACGTGAAGAGGACTATAGCACTGCACAGGAAATACACTCGGAGAAGTGTGAATTGGAATGTTTTTTTAGTTTCTACCAAATTTAGAGAATTGCTGGGTTTCCACTATGGGGCAAATCCAGTGAAACAACTTCAGACAGGACTTGCTAAGCTTTTGCAAACTCACTGCATGACAAGAGGAGCAATTTCACCAGCTCTGCAACTCATGGAAGTAAAAAAATAACAGATAACTGGACAACTGAAAAATTAAAGGCATTCAGAAGTTCCAGAAATATTTTTTAAACTCCCATTTTAAAGATCCTTTGGCCAAATAGTCAAATAACACCATTGAAAACTCTGACCTCAGACAAACAGATGTGCCAGATGTGAGGGACAATAAAACTCCCACTGTTTTCTAACAAATAATCATAATCAATCTCAGGACAGCGTAAAAAAGATAATTATTAATAAAAATACTCTATAATATTAATAAATAATACAATAAAACCACTTTGTACTACTACTTCAACAATAAAACTACTAGATTCAGTTTCACTATGCCAGCTGTACTTTTATATTCAAAATAATTAATATTAATTTATTTTTATATTTGATTAATATTTTTATTATTTTTATCTTAATAAAATTAATATCTTGGGTGATATTAGTTTTCAAACTTTGAGAGACACCTTACATAATTAAAAGTGTATTTTCATTAGAATGTTAAAATGCAGAGGTATCACTGCTGGTCCCAGGACTCAGATTTCAAGGTCCTGCCTTCAAATGCTTTAAGTTGACTACCTGTAAGGTTGTTGTGGACAATGTAATTATGAACTTCTTTTCAAGATAAACATCTTTCTTTTTTCTCCTCTTACAGCAAACCCCAAACCAAATACAATGATGAGGACGGGCTGTGTTTTGCAAACTCACTCTAAGAAGTTCAGCCACTCAGCACTGCAGTCAAGGACGAGCTTCTCCTGGAGCTGATTCAGATGCCTATAATTTTCTATGATAAATGGGGAGTGGAAGCGGCTCACAGTTTTTGTGCTGGAAGGGAGAGAGAAGCCAAACAGGAAATCAAGGTCACCAAGCAATCAGCTACACCATCTACATGCAAAATTGGACTATTTGTCTTATTGGGAGCCTTGAAAATGGATGATTAAAAAAAAAAAAAAAGTATTTCTGTTGTGGTACCAAACCCTATTGATTCACTGGTATTTATTGGGAATAAAGTGGTCAGTTACTGAGCCACTCAGAAGGCTTCTGAAATGTTTTGCACAACGTGGCATGTATCATCAAAATATTACATATTTCACAAAACTCTACTCACAAAACACTGCCTAAATGGATGACTTTTTTGTGGCTGGTTGCATATACAATGAACTACACACACAAAAAAAAATCACTTTAAAAAGGAAAACTTTGTGACAAGCCTGAAAGGAACTTTGTAAATACAGACTGCCTTGCTAGTTTCCACTTGCGGCACTTGGTATTTATTTATGTATTTTCATTAAAGACTTACTTTGGGGTACCCAGGCATTGTTTTACAGAATCCAGATTAGCTGCAATTCGTTCACCTTGTTAATTCTGTCTAATCTCTGCACTTTTAATACTGAACTCTTGCGTAAGTGAATAGAACATCCCTTCAGAGTTCACCTGTGATGTCTGTGCTCGCATATTACAAACTGGGTCTTGTAGAAAATTCAGCATTTACATGGACATTATAACTTTAAGGTATTCAACCCACTTAAATCATAAATCAAATTACTGGGGGGGGGGAAGTCGACTATATAATTCAGGCCATCTCTGTTTCACCTGCTGGAAAAGTACCCAAAACTATCTAAAATCATGCTTATGCAGCACCAAGTACTACAGCAAGAAATGCCTGTCTGTATGAGTAAGTAAAATGACATTTTAAATGAACTGAATTTATTGAGATGTACAAACAGATGTTTGCACAGCTACTTTAACCCTTCTGAATAAAATAAGAACAATCAAAATTTTATGAAGCACTTGCGTGTGCAAGCTACAGGCACAACTGAATCAAGACCATGGTTTTAACACCAGTACATGTACTTTGAAAGGTTAGGTAAATAATACAGTGCTCTAAGGATCTACTGTGTAAAAACAAATGCTTTCAGCACTCCATTTTTTCTGCTTGGTTTTGTTTGCTTTTAAGCAATAAATTTACAATTGTGGTCAGTTGGGTTCAGCTAAAAAAACCCAACCAACAAATATAAACAAATGAGGCAATGAGAATGTGTATGTAATCAAGTGTAGTACCAAAATACTTTGCTTTTACTTCTATATTAAACTTCTATATTAAACTTCGAAGATATTTTACGTACCTACTAATCATAACCCAGTCAGATGGCACAGATGATTTATGGGAATTCTTGACTTCTATCAGAAACTAAAACAACAGAAATGTAATATTACACATCATGGGAAGTCAGGAAGGCTAGAGAATCATAATCATTATAAATCAAGAAATTTGCATGCATCAAAGCAAAACAATAGTCATCCTGAAGAGACTGAGTAGACCAGAAGTTAATGTTCTTTCTCCCCTGAAAAAGCAAGGGTTATGACATACATAACCCTTCTGTACCTTCAGAACCTTGCTTGAGGTTTGAATCAACTCAGGGGCAGAGAAGGAGGAACAGGGAAAAACAGCAGTAATGGCAGGATGCTCAGTGCAGTGAAATTTAAGTGATGTGTTTATTGTAGTAGTTTATATGATTCATGTCAGTTATCTTTATAACATCAGCCTGAGGCCCTGGACATCAGAGAATTGAGGTATTCCCAGTCACAGAATTCAGCTGGAAAACGAATTTCCTGCTGAGATTAAGTTAACACAGACTATGTCCACATTTACAGAAAGCCACAAGACCTTGGTCTGACAAAGCTTTTCCATTATAGTTAATATTATTTAGATAAAACCTTCCACAGCTCACTGGAATAGCCAGTCATCACCCTCAAGTACAAACAAAAATAACAATCCTGACACGGGCACAAAAAAAAACCAGCAAGGGTATGGTGGACGAGTTCTCCATTCACCTAAAACCCTTCCAAGATATTTGTCTTGAAATACCTCTTATTTCTCTTCTCTTGTGAAGAAGCATTTGAATTCTACATCTATCAGCATGCAAGCAGAATATACTACACTGATCTGAGGAAGAAAGAGCTCAAATCAAACAGACTCCTATTCTGTGTTCTTCTCCTCTCTAACAGTTCCCTTTCCATTACTCCTACTCCTTTGGTGTCTTTCCTTTCCTCACTGACCATCTTCTCTGACCCTTTCCCTGTTGACTCTTTTGGTGTCTGTGAGACACCATCACCAGATATCAGGAAATAACAGATCCTTTTACAAATACACCGACATACACCTCTGTCTGCAGTGGTTTCTGAGCTGTGCCCTGCTTTCTTATATGTCTGCACTGACTGGTGGTTTTTAACCCTCCTATCAACTCCGCATTTCTGTACCTCCTCAGATGCTTTCCTCTCTTTGATCAGTTCCTCTCTTTTCCTTTCCTTCACACAGCTGTCATCATATATTCTTAATGCAGCCTCCCTGAGAGAAACTTTTCAAATCCTGGCTCTTTCCTCCCTCAGACAATACTCAAACACACTTTTCCACTTTCCCGCTGAATTTCAGTATCTCTGCTGACAACCTGCCCAGCTCTTGGGCCTCGTGTTTGCTGTTCTCAGCTCCATCATCAACAGGTCTTTGTCAAAGGCTGCTGTTTCTAATTCATACCTTCCCACATTCTCCCTCACTTCAGCAGTGCCTGTTTGCTCCCTCCTGTGTCTCTTGGGTTTTTCTCACTTTCCAAAGTCCTCCATGGACCACTTCCAGCTCCTTCCCTCTCTGTCCTCACCCATTTCTCTCCCCTGCTCTCAATTCTCATTCCATTTTCCAGCTCCTTTCTTTTCCCAGTTTTCTATAGAGTTTTCCCAGCCTTCCTACTCTCAGTTCCCAAAGGACAGTGCTGAGCTGTGCTACCTCACTGAAATTTGGCAGGATCTGACATCTCTTTTTTCACCACTGAACTTCTCAGCTCGCAGGAGCATGTCCTGCCCACACTTGCACAGCACCTACAAACAAAAGCCCCAGTCCAAAGCACTGTTTCTAAGAATTTAAACAACATTTATCATTCTTTAATACTTTTCCTCTTTTCTCACATCTTTTAAATTACAGTCTTACTCAGTACTTACAAATCCTTCCACCATTCTCCAAGTTAACTACACGCTGTGCTTTCTGGTCCTCTGAGAGCGTATTTCAGCACTTACTAGTCACAAAATTAACCCTGGAAGTATGTGAGTGCTTTTACATACAGAGAAAAACAAAGCATCACTGAAACAAATTCAACTGCACTAATGTGTGCAGTTTCTATTATTTAAATCACTAAAGTAATTGACTTAACAAGTAAGAGTCATACTGTAAGAAAGATGTTCTTTAAAGCTGGACAAAAGATTATAGTCAAATGACCTCATCAAGCATCATACTAAGCTCTAGTAGGTCTCACTTTTAAGCTGTTTTCTAGACAAGAATGGGTGCAGTCATATTGTAATAAATACAATATTACCTCTTGACCTGAAACTGTAACATACTCAGCAGAAGGATTCTTAATCTGTTTACGAATGTCTGGCAGATGCAATTGGATTTTAGAAAGCACATCCTGGATGTCCTCTTTTTTCTTTCTGATGACAGGGAAGTCTGTAAGGTCCTTGAACAATTGCGTTTTATCTCCAGTCCTATCCATAAGAAGCATAAGATAAAATAATGGTAAAACCAGAGATTGTGTTTCTGTTGGCTGTGTCCTTATTTTAATTTGTTATTCTCATTTATTTTAACAGTAGTTTTACTCCCTTCTAAATACAGATTTTCAGGTGCTTGGTCATGGTACAGCGTATTTACCAAAAGCTGCCAGACTCATGACATGAGTAGAAAGGCACTTTGCATACAGACATCCCAAGTGCTGACAACATCTTTATCATGATTAAATATGAAGCTTTAGATAATTTCTCCATAACATGGACACAGATTTTTGACATATTTATAATTTGGTCAAATTTGGGCAGATTTTAATGAGAATTGCAAAGAAACCCCCCCCACACACACACACAAGGCCCTCATCAAAACAGAATGCCATCAGGGCTTTCTCAGAGCAGCTCTGAGAAAACTCTTCCTTGTTTTTTCCAGAAAAGCACTTTTAACTACATGCAAAACTACTTTTTTCTAGTTTCAATGTCAAAAAAATGACAAAATTATTTTGGCTGCACTAACTCAGCTCAGGATTGAAATCTGAAACAGAGAATGCCATTCAAATGGTTAAAATTCGGGAGCTGAACTAGCTATTAAAAACACGGTTGTCAACCAAAATAACAAAAATTTAACTTACCCTAGTAAGTATCAGGCAAAGCATAAAAAGCAGTGCAATCAACCCTAAGTTAATTGGAATATAATTTTGTATTTTAGAGCAAACACAAAACTCTCCCGATTAATTACATAATTACCCTGAAAACTAATATGTGGAGAGCAAGTAATTAGCCAACTGAAAGTATTAGAACATAGAAGTAATAAAAAAATCTAATATTCTACTTACTCTGCTACCTCTTTGACTGAGAATGAAACTACAACTGGAGCCAGTGAGCAGGCAGGTAACACAAAGCTGTGCTTTGGCTTTGCATTACGTTTTGTTGGCATTATGTAAGTGACAGTAAAGATGCCATTTTAAAATACAATACTAATTTTTAGAAACGATTTTGTGCTAATTAGACACGTTTCCATGGGAATGCAAGGGGAAAAAAAAGATCACCAGTAGCCAGCAGCTGATTGTGAAGACTGTCAGTGCTATGTGATGCCTACAAAAAAATTTTAAAGTTGACAGTTTAAAAATAGAAAAAACACAAACCCAAAAACTCCAACTCCCCATAAAAAAAGCCCTGGAGCAGAGGGATACTTTTGAAAACAGCTACAGGATTTTATCCACACCTCATAACAAAATTAACGTGATGTAGTGTCTGCACAAGTGTGTGTGCTCATGTATGGATATGAGTAGTATTAGTGATTTTTATGAAAGAAATGTTTTGGAGTAAAAACAATACTGGTGCATAAAGCTGAGATAAATAAAGGTTGAAAGATATGTTATTTTAGTCATCTTGAATGAATGCAAATACAATATATGTAATCTGTAGATCAGTGATGATATCTTTCTACTTACACCATTTTTGTATACTATTCTACCCACGATCAGTACAGTGACAGAACCCGCCCCCCCCCCGGTATTTCAAGTCTACAGTGGTGTGATTTAGATACAGTGAGTTTTGTCATAAACTGCCACAACTATAATTGGACACCATACATCAGCAGAAATCTCATAATCCCACCTGTGAAATGGGCAGAGCAAATCCTTCTGCCCTTCTCAATGTCTTTAATCTATTTAATTTTAATTCAGCATCACCTTGGATCTCTCTCTAATTCAGAAGCAAATGAAGTTAAGTTCTAGGCTTCAGTTCTTAAATCTAACTTTAAATCCCAGTTTGGAAAAGAAAAAATATGTTTTATGAATAAGGTGAATGTTCATTTTTAGTCTGTGATGCCCCAAAGTAACTATATATTAAACTATATACCACATCTTTCATCAAAGAAACAGTACAATTACTTGAAGACACTCTCCAATATAATGCATATTAAGTCCATCTTCTTCCTCTACCTTTTATTTTTTGAACCAACAAAGGACACAATAGACAGCTTTAATGAGTTGTCACAAAAATAGTAAAAGGTTTATTCCTGACAGCAGAGCCGCCACTCTGCTAAAGGCTAATTCTCCCTTCAAAAAGGGATGTTAAAACAAATTATTCTAATGCAAAACACATTTTGCTGTAAATTTGTTGCCCAAAATAGATGAAAAACTTTCAAAAAATTATTTGGCCTGAGGCAAACACCACTAGGCAAAATGCTTGCTCACCTAGTTTAACTTCAAAAAAAGGAAATTTAAGCCATAGATAACAACAATTTTGCTTTAACTAAAAGATACTGTACATATATACAAAGTAAAAAATTTAAAACCAACGTGTACTAAAACAAGATGCATAATTTGCATAACTGAATACATTTTGTCAGAAAGCTTATGAGGCACAGAATATTCATCTATTTTCTCTACTTACTTGGCTGCTTCTTCATTAAGGATCTTTAAATAATGTTTTACTGGGGAGAGAAGCTCTGGGACTTCCAACAGTGCATTTTTTAATAGCGGAGATTTCACATGGGAATGCAGGACCGGGACAAGAGCTTGGATTTCCAAGTGCAGGCGAGACAGGGTGCTGACTATCAGGAAGAACTCTTGGGTTGAGCACTGAGAAGGGAAGCAACAACTAAATCATTCCAATGTACGGTATTTTGATTAACTCCTAGAGGTTCTTTTGCTTTTTGAAAACATGACCAAATACAACTTAACATGTATGGACAGTAACATAGCTGCACCATCTTGGCTCATTGATGAGGTTAATTAAGCATAATTAAGCATGCCAATTGTCTCAACAAACATTGTTAGGAATCAGCCAAGAGCTGATCTTCAGTGCTCCTGGTGTTGGAGGGAGATGTGCATACAAAAGCAGAAAAAGGGGCAGTAATGTGCAAAAATAAAAAGAGCAGGTTGAGTAACTTTAGGAGCACCACACCTTGTTCACATGTGCCTGTGAATGTGTGTTATTTGCACCTCCATGGTGTTTCTTCCAAGAGAAGGTTTGGAAAGACAGAGTGGGACACAGACAGGGAGAGTCTTGGAAAAAGAAAGGGAAAGAATAAAGAGAAAGAGAAAACCAGCAGTCCCTGTTTAAACCACTAATATTACTTGTGCTGTAGTTCGGGCACTTCGCTGTTGGATTCCAGATGCTCTTCAGTGTCAGCCTAGTTTGTTACCTTTAGCTCATTCTCAAGAAAGACTTTGTAGTTAACAACCCTGAGGAATAGATTTCCCTCCTGCCACACTCCCAATCCCCCACTCAGCTGCCCCAGGTACCTGAGGTGCTCATGCCCCGCCTACAAATCAGTTAACTGATTTTGAAATGGCCTGTACAGCACTGAGTTTGCATTTGTGCTGCACCAGATCTACAAACCAAATGGAAACCTGGCTCTGTGGGACACTTAATGGTCTCAAACTGCTGAATTTAGTGACACTCCAGGACATTTTCTTTTCATAAGGTTTGACAAAAGTTGTCCATAAATAATTATGCTGATATTTTTCCATATTTTACTGATCTGTAGAAACACTCCTCCTTTAGTCTTCTGAAATTCTCCTATCAGTCAACTGACAACACTGAAAAAACTAGTTTACTTTCCTCACCTGAGGATGCAAGGAAGGCAGTAGGATATTTCCCCTTTGTGTGCCACATCCTGCTCTTCCTACATTTTTTTCCTCTCCTACCCCAGCAGTCTATAATTGAGTTACTGGTCAGGATTTGGTGGCGATCAATACAACACTGATTACAGAATGCGTAGGTTTCAGTGAATCACTATTTCACAGAACATATCTACATTTTCATTTTGTCATCCTTTCAGTATACACCCAGAAGTAAATTTTTCTTTCTCTTTCCTTTCCACACCCATATGCAAGAACTAAGACAATTCTCTCATCTATAACTCTATAGTTATTCCTCTCAAATAATGACTATACCCAAACACAGAAGCAAGTATTAACAAAAATGCAATTTAACCATGGTATTTCATGACATTCAGGAAGGCCACGGAGATTATATTCTGAATGTTTCTGGAACACCTAAGCTCACCTCTTTTACAGAACCACTGAGTTAGGGATAGAAGAGACCCTTCAGGTGGTTTCCTGAAACTGCTCCAATTTTTCTGTGTTAGTTTTCTAACTATGTATGCTCTTACCTTCCAAGAAACCATGTGCTTTCCACTAATCCATAAAGCAATAACTAGCATCATGTAAAAGTGTTATCAGACAGCCTAAATTTCCCTTCCATTAAATTAATCAAAATATTTCTAGTTTTAGGTTTTTGTAGCAGTTACTCAACTGCTTCTTTGCTGTTAACACCCTTCAAATACCTTTAAGCCTTCTGTTCTCCTTCAATCATCAATTTAACCAAAAAAATGGTTTTTCAGTCTTTCTTTATAAGTCATCCATTATTCAGCCTCATGCAAACTTTGGGTTTCCTCTGCACCTGCTGCAATTTATAATCATCTTTCTGATAATCTGGGACTTACTTCTACCTTGCAAAAGCTCTGACAACAAAATAAAACAAAATAATAGAGCAGTAAATCTGCCAATGGAATTTGAAGTCAAAGCACAGAGGAAAGGCCTAAAAGACTAAATAAATGATAAACTCAGGCTTGGACTGAAAGCCAAAGTAAAATACAGTATGACTGATGGCATCAGCAGCAGCATTGATGCAGATAAGGGATAAAATTCTGCCAGACTTCCCTTGACTACAAAATGTACTCAAGGAGGCAAAGGCTGATTCATGGGAGAGCAATGTCCAGAAAAGATTGAGGAAATACGGACAGTACGAAATACATCTGTTGAATAGGTGGTGTATATCTGGGTGGGTTTTATTAAATGTTCTTTAAGAAAAAAGGAATTAAAGAGGGCCTTAATTAATACATGATATGTAGAGGTGTGGGAAAGGGAAAAGTGTTTGAGAATATATGAGAACACCTGTCTGAGGAGTTTGGCAGTGAGGGTGATGAGGCTGATGAACATGAACCTTCAGTAAGAAGAGAAAGCTGGATTTCAATTCAGCATCACCTGAAATAACCCCCAGAGTTACCATGAGATATGTCAAAAGATGCTTAATGAACATGCTGAAGTTTGTCACAGCAACTCTGATGGCCTACACGCTGTAACAGTCACCTAGTGAATTAAAACCTATTTGATTCTATGACTACGGTCAACAGCACCTTTGGATTAAGGGAAACTCAGCTTTACTGCAAATAACCTTGTCAAACAGAGCATTCCCAAGAAAGGGGTGGGCACACTCCTTTTGTGCTTATTCAGAGTATTACTGTTTCCCCTGGCTCCAGGAGAGTCCTAGATGCAGGACTTTGCATCTAAAATTTAATGTTTCCACTGCAGAAATAATTCAGTGAGCAAAGAGATAACTTGGAATAGATACATAAAAATAACTTTGAAAAGCTGGGTTCCATTAAAGTAGGACTGATTCCATTAAAGTCCCAAGCAACCTTACAAAAGCATACAACTGTGTTACAAATTAGAAGCTTTTAAAATACAGTAAAAATGGTTTACATAAAGCAGGATTAACAGTCTGGCATTCACAGAAGATTCTCACAAGCTTATTCAATGCTATTTTTGAAGTGTAGTTTTGAGATGCCACCAATAATAGCTATAGCTTCTCTGGCACTAGAAAAATAACCTCAGAGTTGACAAGGATGCCAAACAATAGTTTCAACCAGGAGTTTACTGAAAATGGCCTGGCTGCCTCTGAGGATGCAGGAGAGATCACAGAGATCCAACACCCTCTCAACAACACCGACAGCAATTCTGCCCTGTTTGCATTAGTGAAGATGTTTCCAACACATGTACAGGGCTGACAGCCACTGACCACTCACTGCAAGTTAAAAGCATTTCAAATAAAAAAAATATATATGGGAGTTGATGCAGCACACATTTATCATGCCTTTCAAGCTGCAATAGACACTTTTATTAGTATAGAGAACATACTCTAATTTGAGAAAAATTAGGTATTTAATTTTAAGGTTTTTGTTCCCCTTGTTATGACTTTATATTAATCAGCTTAACGTGGAACAATTTGCTCAAATCACATTTAGTATTGCAAATCTAAAAATATCTCTGATGCAGATTCTTAAGAAGTGCAATATATGCAAGATGTGCATGCTGTTATTACAGAAGGGAAAAAAAAGGCAAAAAATACAAGGCATATGTTAGCCAATGTCTACAAAAGATGATGTTATGGGAAGAATTGATCTAAAGCATTCTGTACAAATAGTAACTAATTTCTTGGACATATATATATAACAGGTATTCATTTAATAAAAGAAAAATCAGAAAAACAACATTTTCCTCTGAATCCTCTGAAATCACACCCTCTTCAATGAAACATCAAACATACCTTCCAGAGAAGGTTTTCAGCATCATTCTGCTGGACAAGCATATGTGAAAGATTTTAAGTCCTGGCACGCAGCTGAGCAACACCCTTGTCCTCTGAGGACTCTGTGCCAGTGAAATAGTGAAATACTCACTGAAAAACTGGAGGGCGAAGTTTTGGCCCTGAGGAGACTTGGGCAGTCAAACAGCAAATCCCCCCCTTGTAGCACCTGCCTGCTTTACTCTGCACAGGTGCCTGAAGGGGCAGCAAAGCTTTGGTGACTCATTCAGAACTGAACAAGTTTTCCCAACTGCAACAGCTTGTAAGGAACTCTGAATGAGGGAGAGCCTGTGGCTGAAGTTAGAAGCAGAACAAACTGAAATGACATTTCAGCACATGTGGTGGTAAGGTTTGATCACTGGTCACACTCCTTCAGCGAAACAGCTTCACTTTTATCTGCTCTGTAAATTTAATGATCAGTTGTTATGATGATTTCTGTCCACTTTGGTGACTATGCTTTAGTCACAAAGGTTACAAATTTGTGAGCAAAGGGTACAAATAAGATAAACATTTAGGAATTGAGCCTGTATAAACATTTACTTTCTGAAACGCACTGCATGAAATCAGCAAGAAACATCAGGCTGGCCCTGTAGGACACATTTCTAAAAGTACTAATGACTTGTTTACCCTGTAATAGTTTTAAACCCTGTTCAAATATTGTCCACTGACCCTCTTTTGCCATTCTGCATCTCCAAGGCAAGGCTGAACACTCATCACTCAACTGAGATAAAAAAAGAGGTCCTGTCATTCATATCTGCCACTGATCACAGAAGGAAATGCATGTGGTGTAAATTTTGGTGGTTCTCTTAAGGCTCTGGAGGGCACGGCTGAACTAAAACACCATCTCAGCAGGACCTAATTCTGCATCAGCTCCAGAACTCTTCAGACAAAGCTCTTGAAAAGTTTCTGTCTCTCAGGTTTCTTTTGAAATCAACTTCTGAGTGCTACCAGGAAGTCTTCAAACGTCTCCACTCCAGTCACCCTTGTGTCTGCACAGAGAGCACCGAGGACAGTTTGCCTGGTGACTGTCAAGTGCTGGAACTGCACCAACTAAGAACCACCAGCCCTTGGAATGTAACTCCTCTCTCCATAGCAACAGCAATACTGCTCTTGTCTCCTCAACCATTCCAATAGTCCTTCTTCAGGCTAGGGCAAACTTACAGCTGGAACTGTGACCTCCAAGGCACAAGCTAATTCCCACAACAAAGATACTGTCCTAATTCCAGACTGTTTATACCTGGGGTAGATCAGCAATAGTTCTTGGTGGTGTGGGGTAATGGGAATTTGTGAAGGGCCAGGTTAACAACTGCCAGGTTGAGTTATGGTACCAGATAAGACTTATTAAAAAAAAAAATTAGTCAGACCAGCAAAACAGACAATGATCTTATTTTCCAGATGAATTCCCATAAGCATGCCTTGCCTTACAGACTATTGTCTTGCCTTAATTGTTTTCTGTCTTCTCTAGAGGTCACTGCACAAAGTGCATTCCAAAATAAAAGTTCTCCAGTGACTGATCTGAATATAAAAAACATTCCAAAAAATGTTTGGAATGACTGAGACAACCCAGCCATCTCTGTACACTCTGGAGTCTCCTTGTAAAACACAGCTCTTCAAATACTAATGTCACTGAAGTCTAAAGGGCCCAAAGGATGAAACACTTGTCATATTCACCTATTTTTCCTGCAACTGACAGTGAATTAACAAGCACATTCCTTCAGTTAAGCCATCAGTGAGCTCCACTAGGAGTTTGGATCACTTAAAGGGGAAGAAATTGCGGGGCACTTGACCATGTGGGAGATGGACATCTGGAATTAACTGAACTGGGAAGGCTCCTGTAGTGGGAACTAAAATGGCAGCATTCACTGGTGGGAAAAAAACCACAAAAAAATCCATAAAGACCAGTTATTCCATGTTCTTGAATGATGCTGCTTTGCAGGGACCTTTCTTCAGGCTCCATAAAGGGAACTGTCTAGACTCCAGAACCACTTTCGCAGACTCTGCTTTTGATTCTTTATTCCAAACAGACCCTGTCTCTCACAGACACTGCCATCTCCTCAAAGTCCTAAGAATCTAAAGGGATTATTCAGTGCTCCAGGTCCTCACCACAGTGATGATGCAATGGATGACAACCCAGCTTTTCACCAAGGGAAGATAATTCATCAAATGAAAAGTGTGTGCTTGGAGCTTTTCCCCCCTCATTTACTCTTTTTAATTATTCTGCTGCAGCTTCTTTCCAACATTTGACTCACTAAATACCTATCTTCATGCTACAGTGGCTGTTGTTATGACAAACTACATTGTCACCTCATTTCAAAAACCACACGAAAGTCCAGGGGCTCTGCACGGCTATACCTAAACATCAGCTTTAAAGCTGAGAAAGGTAAGCAGCTCTACAGCCGGAAGAGACACCTGAAGAAACAAGTACATAAAAAAAAAAAAAAGAATGTAAAAAAACCCAAAAGGAAACAAACCAAACCAAAAAAACTCCACATAGTAGCAGTAGAGCACTGCCAGGATGTCGTGAAATACAGATATACCCCTAGAGACAGTATTATGTATGAAACCTGAAATGAGTTTAACCATTAAAAAGTGAATTATCTAATTCCTGGGCAGTTGTTTGGAAAAAAAATCCAAACAATATCAGCATGTGAATATGGTGAATTTTAGAGGATGGGCAAATTGGTGTACACTCCCTCTTTTCACAACCTTATGGTTGAACCTCTTTATCCATTCACTGAAATACACAAGCTTTTCCATGTGCCAAACACTGCAACACTACAGGGCTTTAAAAAACTGGGTTTCAGATTTTCAGAGAGAGGAAAACTTTGTGCTGTACCATCCAAAAAAATTACAGCCTGGCTCTTGTTCTACCCACCTATTCCTTTATCTAAAACAAGCTGACAAAACCTCTAAATAGAACAGTGAAACAAAAGAACATAAAGTACTGCACAGGTGCTATTAGCACAATAATCTGCTTCAGTATTGTCAGTGTCTCACTACAAGTGATTCTTATTAAAATGTGGAAGTGAGATCCAAACTACAGAATTTATAAACAGATTAACATTCATTTGAAAAAGGCTAACTAAAGCCAAGTGGTTTCACTTGCAAGTGTGATTTTAGATAAGCATACAGATGCAATGCTGTGTTTTAAAGGGAAATAATAATTTATGACACAAGGGCCTCTTGCACCATCTCATCTCACTGAATCCAGCCACTAAATCATTAGTACCACAGATGGTTTTCCTTTTAGCATTAGCAATCCAGTGTATGAATACTAGAACCCTACGCATACTTTCTTCTATCAGCACATCACTAATAACAAAGTAAGATTCTATCAAATCTAATTTTTATAAACTTGCATCCCTTTATCAGTTTTGCTAAGAAGAAAACATTTTTAAACAAACATGCAAACCCACAGGAAACACTCTAGGACACAATGATGCTGTTTAGAAAACAATAACCCATGGTAATTATGGTTATACCTTTTTGTGAAAAACACTGCAGAGGCCTCTCTCTAAATCTGGCAGTTTACAAAGAAGATTTTGAATCTGACCAAACACGTTGGATTCTGACAGCAGAATTTCAGACACAGCATCAAGCCGGGCATTTATTTCACTGTAAAAGAATAAGACAATAATTAACACTTGTGTTTCTCTAGTAGAAGGCATACATCTAGTGAACCAGTTCCTCCAGTTTGTTTTACGGTTTTTAACCTTTCACTAATGCCATATCCTCATGAGAGGGTAGGTAGAAGAATTAAGAAGTGCAAAGAATTTTGAGATTTTATTAAAAATGTAAGTAAGATCCATTCTCCTCTCTGTGCTCAAAATAGCCAAATATATACTACAGCGCCCAATTCTACATGTAGTTCTGGTGGTAAATAATATGACTAACACTGAATCCTGAACATCCAACCTTAAATTTACAGACAAATACCTGAAGGATAGGCAGACAGAGTTTACATTTGAACTCTACACAGCATACTTTGTTCCAACAGGTTGCACATACTACTTCCCATTTTACCCCTCTGCATTTGATCCAGACCACTGATTGGTAATTATATGGATCAAACCACCCTGGGCTTTTTACTTTTTCTTTTTTTTTTGTTAAAACCTGTAACATTAATCTCTGTATTTCAGGACTGAAGTAAATTGATGAGAAAACATTTTTTTATGTGAAAAAACAATTCTGTGGTTCTTTGCACCTTCCTTTCAATCATATTCTTAAAGCCACTGTAAGAAAAGAGCTGTAAAAATGAACTACTGTCAAGTTTCACACCAAATCTACATCTATTTCCAACATATGCATGGACTGGCTGAAGAATGCAGAGATAAGGTAAATTTTTTGTGTAACCAAATTGCCTTATTGCTGCTTTCTAGAAAAAGACTGAGAGTAGGGGTAAATGGGTGTATGCAAAACATGTGTGTTCATCCCCACCATGCAGTTTACAGAGAAATCAGTCTTTTGATACCAACACTTCATACACCAGCCAAGAGTGTGCAAAACACCCCCACACCTGTTCTCCTGGACCTGTGAGATGCTCTGAGCTCAGCCAGCATAGAGGAATAGGAAGTAAGGATGCAATCAAAATGTAAGATTTTGGGGAGATTGTCTGTCTTGGCCATGGCTTTTATTGCAGAACTGCTGTGCCACTTTCCACTGCTACCAAATGCTGCCCATGAGGAAATCAGTGAAATCAGGCATCTCCACCGGCTGCAGACATTACAACAGCCTGGCAGTCAGAGGCCTCTGGCTCTGAAGACAGCTAAATCTAAGAGTTCTTGAAATTTTATTCCACTGCATGTAAAATGGTGAACATCAGGAATGAGTGGGCACCCAGATAAACATAAATGTAACAGCACTTGAGTGCCGGGATTCCTCCAGTGACACATTGCTTTATACCACAGGAGCCAAACCATCCCCTCCTCTGCCAAAAATGACACACCTTCGTCCCCAGAGCAGCCCTGCTGTACAACACCAGGATTTGCACTGTCCCGCCATCCACCTGGACCACAGGTAGATAGACCTTCCAGTGCCGCTGTGTGAACTGGGGACAGCCTCTGGTGCCTGGACCTTGGACACCTTGGGAGCTCACTGTTATCTCTGAACTGCACAGCAGACTCCCTGATAGCACCAGAGCACCAAAAATACTCCACTAACCTAAAAGACTGCTTTTTCCCTCAAGCCTGAGGAAAACAGAAGGGTCAGACCTCATAGCCAGTGCCTGGCAGCCCTGCTGCAGGTCACAAGAACACCACTCCTCCAGCAGTGCCAAATGCACACAGTCAAATATTCTCTGTTCCTCTGGGCAGCCAGGAGACCTGGAAGCAGCAGCAGCACAGGACAGAGCCAAGACTCGAATCTGATCCCAGAGCTGCGATCACGGATCTGGTGTGTGCTGACAGTCACAGTTATGCAACCAAACAATCAAACATCAGGCTCTTGGCACCCCCATAGGGCATTCCAGGCGGCAGAGATTTAAGCCTTGTGCAATAATTAGTAAGACACTCTCAGCAACTGCTGGATAAGGGAGAGGGAATGGAGAAGTGTCAGTATCAGCGACAGAGTAATAAAACACCCAGAGTACACAGCTCTAAAGGCAGCAAACAGTTACACTGATACCCTAAAAGGTCAGTGTAACCAGCCACAGTTACACTTTCATGGAAAATTATTAAAGTTTGCTGTACTTGAGACCATGGAACACTCCTCTGCGCGAAGGAGTACTGAACTGTTAAATTATAAACATATGTACCTTACAGAAGATAAAAACTGGTATTTTTTATTATAAAAAGCATTGTAAGCAGCACAACTCTGTCACTTGATTTAAACAGTACTATTATATCTATGTGGTCAACTAAAAACTTGCAGTAGTATGTAAAATAGAACAAATATTTGAAAAACTTCTCCCTACAAAGCTTAATCTGCACTTAATCATCCTCACATATGGCTGTGTTACTGGAGATCCAGTAATCTAAAACTAAGCATCCATACAGTTTTTCTGCTTTAATCCTACAAACAAGAAAGGGTCAGGAAAATGGCATTCCATACCAAATGACCCATTTTTTTCCCACCTGTAAAAAACATAGTGGGGTTCCTATTTGAAACAGGAAGTACAGCAAAAAATTGTGTGAAATATGATGTCGATAAGGAAGGGGGGGTTGGGATGAGATGATAAAAACAGATGATGAATTTCAAAGTATGCTTTTAAACTTTAAATACATATACTTAAATTAATGAATATTTTGTTGAGGTCTAGTATATGCATATTGCACTGATCAGCTACTAAACCTTCTCAAAAGAAATCTTTTCTGCATTGCAGTTATTCAGCATATATGAATTACAGTCTGGGGTTTCTAATCTCTGCACGGTCTGGAAAAGAATTTCACTCCGAGAAAATCTGAATCTAATGCTATACAAAGAAACTCAACAGCCAGCCAAACTGGCTACTACTTCGTGCTCTATTTAGGTGCAGTATTAGCCTGTTCTTTCTCATCTGTATAAAGCATGCCAGCAATCTGAGCTTTATCCAATTTTCCAAACAATCTTCAGTGAAATAATGTAACATAATTCAGTTGACTAAAAGCAATACACTTACTTCTGCTGTACTCCCCACCTAAGAATAGCATCATTAATACAATACTAACATCACTCTGCAGTGTATTTAAAGAGAACAAAATCTAACTGCAGAATTTTTATTCTAGTAATTTAAAAGAACTACTTGAAATGATATAACAAGATACTCCCCTGTGTTATTCTGCTGCTAAATATCTGGACAATACAGAAAATTAGAAAATACAGAGATATTTGAATCCCAAACTAAAAATTATTTTGACAAAGCAGAAGGCTGCAGATCCAAAAGCACTATGCTGAATTGACATCTGAGCAGTCTAAATAGGATTGCTTGTTGCTGGAGTGGTAACAGATCTGCTGATCTCCTGCAGCAAAGCAAACCTGACATTTTTAGATGGGATAATATATCGTTACATTTGAGGCAGAGTGGAACTGATAATGTAGCTGCTATATAAAAACAACAGAATATTTTAATTCATATAACGTTTTATTTTTATACAAGGTAAATAAACACAAATTTATCAGAAGTCTATTAACTTACAATAAATGCACACAGTATGAGTCCATTCATCGTGCTGAGGACATAGCTCAAGTACAGTGTGTACAAATGAAATTAATTCTATTAAATCTCTTTAGAGACCACAGTGATAGGCAGAACTGTCAATCACAGGAATTTAACCCTTAAAAAACATAATGAAGGGTATGAAACAATAAACGCTACTTTACATAAACTATATTATCTAAACCAAAGCCTAGTAGCCTCCTAACTACAGCATTGTAAAGAATGAAAATATATTATTTAAGTTACTCACTCACACATTACGCTTTTTTTCTGACCTTCCTTCAGAACACACTTCATGACTGAAGACTTTGGGTGAGTTGATTAAGTTAAAGACCATGTTAAACTGTACAGAGGGTTTCATGCTTCAGACCACTCCCTTTCACAACAAGCAACTAACGCCATCAAAACCCAAGGCTGTGGTAGAATTACCACAGTGCAATCTATAAGCTATGTATGTCTTTTCAAAGAACGAGGAGATAAAAAACTGGCTCACTGCAGAAGCTGGAAGGTCAGGGGGATAAAGTGTGTGTGTCAAACACTGACAGCCAGCTGGCTCCAGAGCCAGCCAAGGACGCTGGTAATGCCAGCCAGGGACTGTTGTGGCTGGAAAAGGGGCCATGCGGAGGCAGGGCAGCACTTTTTTGGACAAATGTCCTTGTTCTGTCTGTTGGAGAGAAGGACAACAGAGCACAGGTGCAGGAATGATGCCAGAAGGTGGACTGTACGGAGGGATCAAGAACACCAAATGCCCCTGAAGCCTCCAACCTATCTCCAGAAAAGTCTGGAACAGACTGTGTATGAGAACTAATTTGCATAGAAAGCAAGGAACTGATCTCCAGGACAGGAAAACTTACCTGTAAAGAGGTGCCCCCTCAAAGCTTGGGCACCCCAGGACCCCGCACACCCCACCAGCTGCACCAGTGCTGGAGCCAGAAGCAGTGACCTCTCTCCCTCTTTCTCTTTCTCCCCCTCTTTAATCCATCTCCCTCTCTCATTTCCCTTCCACCCTACCTCTCTGTTCAAACCCTACTGCTGTGTGCTTAAACAGGAGATGAGGGACTAACACGCGATTTCCCTGCCAAGTGTGTAATTTACTAATAAAACTTTATTAACTTTTGCAGACCCTCTGACTTCTGTTGTTGCATCTACACATCTTGGGTGCTCCCTTCCCCTCGAGGTTTTTTTACCCAAGTATCAAATTAGACACTGGCTAACTTCATAGGATGAATCCAGATTTGTTAAATTTTGCTGTGACCACTGGAATTTCATGCATTGGCACCAATGAAAAAAGTACAAACAAGGGTAACTATATCACATTTACTAGAGTGAAATTTAAGTGAAACTTAAAAAAAATTAACATCCTTCTGAATCTGCTCACTTGTTTTTCACTTTTTACTCCTCAAACTCCTAATGTCTCAAGCCTCTCCAGAAAGGTCCAGTGTTTCCTTAAATAAATATGCAGGACAATATTCCTGAATGGATCTCAAATACTTAACAGCAATATACAAGTACTCTAAACTTTATCTTCACATCTGTTAAAAGAACATTCAAGATATGCAAATGGCAATCAAACACTTTTGTTTATGTTAATACACAATGTTTTTCAGCTATTTGTGCCAAAAAAGGGAATGGTTGGCCACTTTAGCCACCGTGAATGAAGGCCTGATTGCTCCATTGATAAGGAATTAGACATAGCATTCAGTGCGACCAAAACACAGCTAGCAAAAATGAATGAACACATGTGATGATGCTGCAATCTTTTTCTTTTCTACAACAATCTTGAGATCTCAGGCATATGCTGTAACCTGCATTTGTGCATTATATACTGGCACTGATGCTATAAAATCATTATTTTTAGGAGGAAAATTTAGCTCTGCTGTAGGATTGGTGGATTTTATTCATAAATCATTGCTGCAAAAAAAGAATTATATTCTAACCCTGCTAAGGATGATGATGGTATCAAATGCCAACCAGTTTAACTCTGAATTAAACTGGTTTCTTCAAGGACCTTTTGAAAGTTTGTTTTACTGCCCCAACATTTTAATTATGGGAACAAGACCAAAGTCAATCTTGAAAGAATCTCCTTTAGGATTGTACTTCATGTGTAGAAGTATGAATAAAACAGCACTCATTGCATTCAAAGTGAGAGGATTTAGAACAAGATAATATTTTATATTAGAAAAGATATCATTGCCAACATCACAACAAAAAGACCCTCTTCTACCTCATTCTACAGCACATATCCTCCAAATAAAAGTCATGTTGCATCAGTAATACCAATTTATACTCTTCCTCTTCTTTAATAGTTTAAACTTTAATTGTCTTTAACTGTCAGCAGTCCTGAACTGTGCAGTTCTGAATTTCCTAAATTTACAGTCATTCTATGCTCTTGCAGACAGAGCATATTCAGACTAATGGTAATTATCAATACCATCCTACAAGGCTTCAATTCCACCTCAATAAAATCATCATCTCATCCAAAACTGGAGGAAATGGGGAACAAAATATACTGGAACCACAGGGGAGAAAAAATCGAAATCCAGTTATTGAGGGGTGATTAAAATTTTGGCATTTGTAAACCAAGAAAACAAAGGCTGAAATGTTTTCAGCAACTCTCTAAATGCATACAATTTTTTTCCTTCCTTGAGATTTAAATATCAATTTTGAACTCTTAGTTCAACTCCAGCGAACCCTCACGAGGCAAAGGAAGGTGCTTGATCTCAAGAGAGCAGATTTCCTACAAATTTTGCAAGAAACAGCAGCTGAGCAAGACACAGTCAGAGATTAATACCCAGGACACAGTAGTTATTTGTCTGTTCTCTTTGCACTGAAGATGAGCAAGCAGCACTGCTGTGGCTTGGAGACAGTCATAACACCTAGGTAAGGGAACTGCAAAGAGGAGGGGGGGAGATGGCAGCCATGGATGTAACAGAGACAAGGAAAGACACATTTCGCAGAAATGAGGTCTCAGATTGTTCATGTGCAGGGCAACAACTTTCTCGCCCTGTCCTCTGTACCATCACCACAGAACAACATTCCTGTGATACACAACAAAACAAGAGGTGCAAATAAGAGCCAGGTTTGCTCAACAAGGCCTATGTGAAGCTTTTCTTTCTCCTCTCCTGTAGCCATTGAAAAAACAGTGACTTTCATATCTACCTCAAGGGTTCTGAGATCTATTTTGCATTAGGAAATAAACTATTTGCAAATATTGCACATAAACAAAGACACAAAGATCACACTGTGCTACAATACTGTATCCTGAGGCCAGTCATGAGCCCTGCTAAGTGTGATAATACAAAGCTCTATTCCTTACCCTGCTGAAACTCCACTGCCTGACTGGGAAACTGCACATTTAATTCACTCAGAAATGTTCCAAGCCTTCCATTTTCCTTTCTTTCCACTCTCTTTACAAAATCAGGCAAGGAAGGCACTGGATGGAACTTGAATTTCAGAGGTAAGATAAGGCTTTTGTAATCCACAAATACGTAACTTCTGCAAAAACCTACTTTCCTGATTCCTCCTAAAAAGCTCAGTCATCAATGACTGATCTACTCTTGCCTCATCATCTTTGTATAGACAGGTGAGTAAGTGAGGACATTATACTTTTCCCGGTTAAGCCTTTTTTTGACTTCTTTTAACAAATGTACAAATCTTGTCTCTACATGTACTACATTACCAATCATCTGAAGAGTATCTTCAAGTTTGCCCAAATGAGCTGTCTGTACACATTTTACCTTTATTCAACCTAAGGTATGGCTTCTCCACAGGAAGTTTAGTCATCATTCCAAGTGATTTTCAACTCTAAGGCATAAAGCAGTAATTACACCCTCTCATTTTTTGATACACCTACCCACAGACTGGGAAAGATGCAGTACAGAAACCTGACTTCCTTTGAAAATGTCTCTCCAGGAGGCTCAGGTGAATTACAATTACAGAATGTTCTCTAAGTGCATTTGTGTGCATTACCGGGAACAATATTACCGGATGTCTGATGCACTAAGTACATGAAATTACAACTTAGAGTCAGAAAGGGAGAAATACACAGAGTAAAGTAGCTTTTCTAACTTCAGCTGAGGAGTAGTCATCTCCAGCCACAGAAGCCTGAAAAATGTCAAGCATCACTCTCTAGAGGCAGGAAAGAGAAAATGAATAAGACAAGAAAGCAAAACTACCAACTTTTAAACTGGTTCTGCACTGAGGCAAGGGAGAATTTATATTTAAACTAAATATACTGGTTAAAAAAGAATGCCTGGAGTCCTCAGGCAAGCAGTTTTCTACCTGCTGTGCCCAGAAAAGGACTCTGTTTTACTGTGGAATGGTATTTCACCTACTGCATCACACAGGGGATGATTTGGGGGCAAAATGGCTGGAGGCAAGTCCTCCCCAGCTCTCCATCCTCAGAGCTCTGGCTCCCTCCACTGACAGCTCCACAAATCCCAAAAGGTCATAAGGGCAGGAAGAGAAATAAACTAATTTATTTCCATTTGTTCCCACAAAGTGGCTCAGAAATTCTGCCTACATGCTTTTAAGGTGAACATAAGGCCCTAATTAACTTCCATGAAGCCCAGCACTTTTTAGGATAGTTACATCAAAAGCCTTTTGGAAGTGGGTAAGAGATATGAAAGAAGAATTAAAAAAAGGCACACTGAAATTAACTTTTTACAAAAGGTTAATAAGAAAATTAAGCAGTGATGCTTCAGAAGTACAGTGCTTTCACATACAAAAGTTGGTCAAGAAAAAAAATCCTTCTGAAGAAACATTTGTAAATTACCAACAACAGCAATATGCTAAAACACTGAATTAACTCACCATTTAAAACTGGTGAAAAATAATAAACACTAAAACTGTTTAATATTTACAAAAGTAAAACAGAGGGGAAAAATATTTTAGACAACCAGCCTGAAACAATTTTCTGTATGCTACAGCTGAAAGAAACAAGAAATTATTTACAATTAAGTAAATTCTACATAAACAATGCTGAGGAAAGGCACATTTGAAAGAATAGATCCAAAAACTTAAAATGTAGTGAAAAAACATCCCATGGAGACAATACTGTCAGTTACTACACATTCAGGTACAATACTCCAATAAAGTCTGCAAAGAGAAACCACGAATTTGGAGTCCCTTTCAAAACTGAGGCAAGTGAAAATTTGCATGCCACTGTCATAAAATAAAACATTTCTAAAACACTGATAAATAAGGGATAGGTCAAAACACAGGAGTGACCACACAATGATCACATTTCATACTTAGTAAAAAGGAACACTTTCCCATGCCTTACATTGTATTCAGGGATAACAAAAACAGCCACAACTACTTTAGAAGAAATTAAACACATTAAGGATGTAAATACTTGTGAAGCAAGGAAGACATCCATCATTTATTGGCAAGTTTAGAAATAAAACAACCTCCAATAATGGGTCATCCTCTTTTATTGTCAAAAAGGATACTGAATTAGAATGGTACCAAATCTGACTTCTGCAAAAGAATTTCTAACCTGGTCCAAACCCAGTACTATTTATCTGTGCCCAAAACAGAGCAGTTTAAGCCTTTCAAACTGATCTATAACATCCACATCTTCTATTGTATAATTTCCTGAACAAACTCTCCTGCGGGTCTCAGGCCTTCCGGACAAACAAATACATTCAGCGTCACCATTGTAAAAGACAGATTTAGCCCAGGATAAAGAACTATCTCACCTGGATTTCATGAGAGGTTGGGTCACCCATTTCTTCAGTCTTCGACGTCCAAAGGAAGTTCTAGTATGATTCAAGACCCAGAATAGACTTCCTTTTGTTTTCATGTCAGTCTAAAATAATAAGAACAGTTTCATTATTTTCAGCTGAGCAGTCAGTATTGTAGTGGAAGGATCTCCACCGTGTTACATAGACCATTTTGTATATTCTTTAAGATATGCTAACTGTATGTTCATTTACCAATCTCACCCACCAACAATGCGTTACATAAAGTACCTCTGAGAGTCATAAAATATTTAAGTATGTTTTTCCTTTAGCCAGAAAATCATTTTAGTAATTGACTGGAATAAATTAAGAAAGTGAAGTTCTCTGAATAAAGCTCTCAGAAGGAGCAAAAGAACAGACCCTACTATAGACATATTCCTCGACTGCAGTTCTTGCTCAAGAACTTAAGTTGCTCAAGTAAAGTTCTTTGCTAGTCCAAGTACAGTAAGGTTCCCAAGTCATACTAAAAGCCAGTACAGATGACCTTTCATTTAGCCCTCTGAAAATGTGATCCACCTTCAGTCTGATCCCATTTAAAGTAGTTTAAGCTTTATGGGTGAAATTTGCAAAGCAATTTAATCAACTTCATTGGGAAGGCAGCTTTTATTTAAAAAAATTATGTTTGTCCTTACCTGATTCTGCAAAATTTCAAGATTTTTCATTGTTGTCCCATTAATTGTCATGTATTCAGTTTCACTAGACAACTTTTTGAAATTGCTGGGGAGAGGAATTTCATATGTTATATCTTTAATTCAGGCACAAACAGAACAGTGAAACACTGCTAAATTCCTCATGTTAGATAATTCAATAGTTATGCAAAATAAATTTTAAAAAGTCAAGTAAGAAATCCAAATCTATTTAAATAAAAGAACTAAACACTAATAACTTTTTTAACTTACTGTTTGGAAAAAACTCACTTTTTTTGTTTAAGACTCACTTTCGAGTTTCTGGGCAATGACTCTGACAAAGCTCAGAATAAAATCCAGCTCTCCTGTTATCTAATCCTTTGACACTAAATGGCTAATTTATTCAGTCTGCAACTAAGCAGAGACAGGACTAATAATCAATACTTCAGGAGTGGAACAGACTTTTAACACAACTCATCATCAAAAAAGCATATCAAAACACATATTCTTTTTTTATTACTACTGCAAATTTAAACATGCTACCAGTGCAATTATTTAGGAAAATAAATATACACTACATTTAAATTGTTTGATTTTGGTTTTGATGTGAAATAACCATGACCAAAATTACTTGACTTTTTGATACTCCTTAACAGAACTGGATGAGAACAACCCAAAGGCTGGGTTGCTTTAGAGTCAACACCAAAAAAACCAATTGCGTTAGATGTGTAATCTTATTAGATATGAAAATTATTTCAGTCTCAGACACACACACGTGGTACTTTGAACCATGAAGTGCAAGATCCTCACTAAATGCTTCTGACAAACCAAGTCATGATTGTCTGGGTTAATCATACTGCTGACTGCCCTTTGCACAGAATCTAGGACACTCTTGTCTTAGATTAAGCAGAACAATTTGCTCGACAGGATTTAAAACTCTTTTCTTGACCTTTCACAGAATTTTTTTCAGTGTATTCAATTTTAAACCCTCTAGAGAAGCATGTGAATGCTCAAACTTTTCTGTTAGGCACACACAGCTGCTATATTAAAAACAAAAACAATACCAAAACTTCGAGAAACATGAAACGTTCAGAGACTAATGTTATATATTTATGTTGTATGCAGGTGTTTGGGCCTGCTGTCAAATTTCTTCCTAAATAATGGGTCAAATGTGATGTATTTTTCACAGAATTGAAAAAAAAAGCAGATTCAACTGAGGGCCCTCAAGAAGTTTAATGGTCTTTTGGAAGTACAGCTGACTCAGAACTGTACCCATAGTTATAGTTATTCTGCTTTGTGTGCTATTCCAGCAACCAACAAAACTGACCAGGAAAACAAAACACTGGAGGCAATACTTTCCAAAGTACACAAACTTGTAAGCAATAAAACACCACTTCCTTTTATTATCTTTAGTCACAATTGCTGATGCTGGCAAAAATTAATTAGGAATGGTTTCTGCTTGGTTCCCCATGCCTACAGCCAACAACAAATCCTACCTGCTCTTCTGAAAGTACCTCTTCTGCTCCCAGGACTACCTAAACAACAGTTTTCCCATTTGCCACAACTCGAGTCTGTGATCTCTTATACCCAGCTGGGTGAGAATCAAGCCTTTCCACGTCTTCTCAAAAGTGAAAAGGATGCTTTTGGGTGGATTTACTGGTTCTGTTGCTTTCCCACTTCTTCTGGCTTTAGAGCACTTAACACACACCACACTGCTCCCAGCAAGGTTGCTCAGGAGTATTTGAAGACAACTCACTCTGTTCCACTGCACAGTGTATTTACTATTCATTCAGAATCAGACAAGCAAAAGTTGTTTTCACAGCATAAATTATGTGTGTCTTATATTATCCAGGTGTTTTCTTTATCTGAGTTACTTCACCCTGCTATTAATCATGGCAATTGAGAGTTTGGAGTATACGAATAATAGTCAGGATCAAGTGCAGTATATGCCCAACCAACAATTCCAGATGTCACAGCTCAGAACATGTTTTGCTTCCACCCACTCATCTTCCTTCAGCTTGGGATCAGAACTTGGTAAAATGTGAAAAAAAACAGACTCTTTGTAGGGAATTTAGAGATCAAATGGCATAAGAATAGGCTGTAAACAACTATTAAGTCAGTGCTGGTTTTGCAGCAAAGGTCTCAACACAATCCTTGTGTGAAATGCTAACGCACTGCTATCAGCCACCTCTTGAACCATTAGAAATGACCCTTCAACGACCACTTGGACTGGATCACAACGACATAACTCTTTCTGTAGGTGACAGTGTGACCTGAGTTTCAAAGAACAGACCTGCAACGGTCTCAAGCACTTCAAGAGCACAAAACACAAGTGATGGAAACAGATGGCAACTGAGGAGCACGGCATTGTAGGATCATGTCATTTCTGGGCTTGGAAAAAGGAAAAGAGGAAACAAACACAAACTTCCAGGAAAGTTTAGGAACCTTATGGGGAATACTCATGACAAGGAGCTTCCTACCATAAAATGACTTTTCAGAGCAGAACCACACAAGAAAATGAGTATGAAAGGGTTGCTGTGACTGCTTTAGGACAGTAAACTACATCCTCAGGCTTCAATTCTTATGTGTTACTGCTGAAACTGGATCATCTTGGTCATTCTGGCCCTACTTACTGGGGGCTTATAAAAAAAAGAGTGACTGACTTTTACAGGGGCAGTTAGTGACAGGGTAAGGGGAAACAGCTTTAAACTAAAAAAGGAGACATTTAGTTTTAGGAATAAATTCTTCCCTGTGAGGGTGGTAAGGCCCTGGCACAGTTGCCCAGGGATGCTGTGGCTGTCCCATCCCTGGAAATGTCCAAGGCCAGGTTGGATGGGGCTTGGAGCAACCTGGGATAGTGAAAGGAATCCCTGCCTATGGCAGGGGGTGGAACTGGATGGGCTTTAAGGTCCCTTCCAACCCAAACCATTCTGCGATTTTGCCTGCAGAGAAGCTTGCAGTGAACAGTCTTTTTAATGCTTTCTTCATTATTCTCTGCACAGAAGATATTATATGTAATTTCACACTCAGTAACCCAGCCTAAGTGAATGCATGGTATTCAGATCAGTAGTTTTCAACTACTTTAATTCTGGAAATCTGTAAAATTTCTAAGTGAATATGCAAGGTACTGTACTGAAAGCAGATCCTCTTTGCTCAATTACCTTTTACAGAGCTTTAGAGTCCATGTCTTCAAGATCTCTGAGGGTGAATAAACCACAGAATAAACCAATACAGACAAGAGTTGCAGGAACCCCTAAAAGCTTTAAGAAGTAAAAACAAGTCTCTCTACTTTGTAGAAGCATAGTTTTTGTTAGGTATTAACGACATTACCACAGTCTAAGTAGCAAAGGACATCAAGTCTAGACTATGTCTTGTGTTTAATTAACCAGGTTTGAAAACATTAATGAATAGTGCCGCAAGGCTAGTTTTGGCACTATTCTGTGTTGTGTACCATTCCCTGCATTTCTTTAAGTTCACTGTTCAAAGTCTACAAACTCTCTCTTCCACTTCCAATATGCTGGAAAACATATAGGTAAAATCAAAATACACTGAGACACATCTTCCCAGCAACTGCTGTGCAAATGATGATTTTTCAAGCAAAACTGGGTACTCAAATGTATTTGAAAACCTGTCCTAGATGTGCACCAACTTCCTGACAAAAGCCTTTAATCAAGGTCTCTCATTATGCAAAGGTATTAGAGCACATTGACTAAAAACACCTTGTATCATTCATTATTAAATCTATTTTTACTTACTGTTAGAACTCTAACACAGTCCAGTCATACCCTGAGGTCCTGCTGTGACAGAAATCTTTATTTCTTTTTAGTATTTTCCCTTACTTAGGATCTTAAAAGCAGATTTAAAAGCTTCATCTACATATTAGAACAAAACTTGTTTTCCCCCCATCACTGAGGTTTCGTTGTCCCTTACATGATGTTTCATAACTCTTACTACTAAATAGAGATGGAATTCTTTTCAGTTGTGAGAAAGAGTGTTTATCCAAAGAAGGTACAGAGGTGTAATGAATTTTTCTGTCATTCTTCCTGAAACAGGAAGGGTTAATCGAAACACTTTTACTGTAAACCCACAAGAGCCCCCCTTACCCCCTGTATTTCGTTTACTGTAAGTTGTACTTTTACAAGAAGGCTATGTTCTGTATTAAGAGCATTAGACCTTAAAGGAACCACAACAAACACTAGACAAAGAACTCAACACACATAAATCTCATCCAGAGGAGCCAAGGTAGACATTTGAATAGGTAAAGTAGGCCTAGAGCCAAAGGTCTCTTCAAGCCTGGACGATCAGGACACGAGAACAATGGATAGAACAAAAGGTCACGGATGTCACCCGAGGAAGATGAGTAAAATGCAGACCCTAGGATGAAGGCAAGACTGGAACTACCCTAATTTATTCCTCAAAATAGAGACCACGCCTCAATCTCCACCTCGACTCCACCTGCTATGAATATTGTAATCTAATGATGCAATAATACGAATATGCATATGATTATGTTGTAATCACAATTAGAAACTGTATAAATTGCTTGTTTTTACTGAACCACTTCGGAGCTTTTTGTCCAGCCTGAGCTGCAAGCTACCCTGACGTCGTTAATCATTCAATAAATACCTGCTGTTTATGGGCTCAAAATTCTGCCTTTAAGCAGTTTTTTTATCTGCCTTTTTTTGGGGCACCATTCCTATCAAATAGGTCTTCATCCAGATCTATGTCACTTACTGTAAAAAACCAAAAACTATCTCACAACTCCAACTTCATGCTCACTGACCTGAATTCTTCTAGGAATTTTAAGTTGCTTGATAGTGCAGTGGAAGTATTTCTTCTCTGTTTCCTAATTCAGAAGATTCATGAGCCTGACATGCTTTGCTTAGAAGTCTTTCACTTTTCAGTTTTTGGATAGTATTTCACTGGCATTAGGAAAAATATTGGAATTTGCCTCAGCATTTGTCTCACTATGTTGATACCTGTGACATGCTAAAAAACAGCAAGTAGAACTCAGTATCAGGTAGTCAAAGCATAAAGGCTTTAGGAATAAACACAGAGGATTCCAAGCTCCCAACCACAGATTTCTCAAACAGTGTATTTTATTTCTTCACAGAGCATCACCAGGATATTGAGTAGTTCTTTGCCTTTTCACTCAGATGCTCATACATTCACAAAAAATCCATTAGAACAACCTTCAGCAGGCAAATGTCAATGCCAAGAATTAGTGCTTTTCCTTCCCAACTGATAATTGTACTTGATTTTAGGATGCAGCTGTTACAAATGTGACTGATTGCTGCTACATAAGCCTTCACACAATGAGGTTTCTCCTCTAGTACTGAATACTTCTACATAAAAGGTGGATTTTGCATTTCCTCCAGCTGAAAGAACATTCACCTCACATGTGATTGCACAAAGGGCACTGTGACAGCAGTGACCTGCAAGTGTAACAATGAAATGGCATTTCCTTGGATTCCACTTTCTTCTTTGGAAACTCTACGAAAAGATTTCTTAACCCATGCAAGTATATTAAAAAATAAATAAAAAAACAAAGCCCCCACCAAAACAAACAAAATCCCACAAAAACAAACAAACAAAAACCCAACAACAACAACAACAACAACAACAAAACACAAAAAACCCCACAAACAAACAAACAAACAACAACCAAAACCCCACACAGGATAAAAAAAAGTCAACCAAAGAGGATAAGCAGGAGCACCACAGATCAGCTCCTTGATGGATGATGCAGTGAAGATGCCACAGGAATTCTTTCCTCATTAGCTCTATAAGCCCATCGAACTTTTTGTTAACATTTAAATAGTACTTGGAGTGGATAAGAGCAACTTAAGGAAGAAAATCCACCCCAAAATCCAGAACACCCATATACATATAATTTCCAAACATTTTAGCAGAAACATGCAAAAGTGTTTAAAGCTGGCATCTGCAGTTGATTTTTTAAATGCAGCTGCATTGTAACAAAACTAGCAATGTAGGGAGCCCTTCAAAATCAGACTCAGACAACATGTGAATGACCCACAAATGACATATTTCTAAGTTTCCAATCTGCAGCCAGACTGACTTCACTAAATCCTGCCTACTTATGGAACAGAGGAATACTGGGACAACCAGGAGAATACTTTGCACAGGATCCATGACAGCTAAAGTTATTTTATTTAATAAGCCCCAATGGTATTTTCAAAGCTCAGTCACGTAGGATACCAGTGTTTTATGCCTGTGCAAGGTACAATAGCAGTGTTTTATACTCAGTGCAACACAGGAAAGGAGAAGCTTGAGCAAGGATGTCTTTCTGTTTTCATTTGCTTCCACCTGTATAATCCTGTCACAAATTTTGAGTGCTCATTTAAGCATATCTAATAAACCAAAGGATTGGGATTGCCTAAGGGAAGACAAGGTATACCCATGTCTGTGTGGTTTTGTAGTAACTTTGCACAAATGGTGACAGTCCAGGGATTTTCCAGAAACCTAGGATATGCTGAATGCATGTTTTCTTTATAATTGATAACTAGATTTGCCAACTCAAAGAGGCCTGCTGAGTACTGCCTAAACTTAACAACACACTAGCATTTGTACCTGCTTCCAGAACTACAGAAAGAAAAAATTATTTACACACTGCTGGCAAAATAAAACATCTGCAAAGCAAAGTTACAGCACTAATTTTTTTTAAAGCTGCCCAAAAAAGCCCTACATTTGGTTTACTGAGGTGAGATATGATAGCTGATATAAACAAACTTTAAAATTTCCTCCCTAGTATTTACCAGTTTTTGCACCTTGTTTGTTTTCAGTAACACTTGGCAGCACTACATATTAATTCACATTACTGACAGTCATATCTACACAAACACTTCATGAAGATTTTCATGAAACACCACTTAAAGAAATCACTTGATTCTTTCAAGTTCTGATTAGGAGACCAAAAGTAAGGTATAATTTTTACAAAGACTATGTTTATCACTCTAGTAGGTGTGTTCATTACAGTCAGGGAAGCTGCCTGCTAACACTTATAGGAAGTGGTGATTCAAATTGGAAGTTTATGTAAGGCAACTTACCTTGGATCGTAAAGCATCCTTTCCAAATTAAATTCTTTAAGATATGTAATTACTGCTGCCAGAGAGCAAATAATAGGCTTATCCAAGCTTAGTATTACAGATAGTTTCTGGGAACCTAAAAAAAAAATTTTTCTTGTTACATTTTTATTTTCCTGTTAACTCATTGTCTACTACTAATGTATTGTAGAAAAAGCACAATCTGTTTTTCAATTTATTATAATAGAAATCTGCAATGCATGTACAGTGTTTTATGAGATCTACAAATCAACATAAAGCAAGGCTCCGGAATAACACTTACTGTTCCAAAGAATGTAGAACATTGCAGTAGTGTAAACACATTACGAAACAGAAAACATTTGACTCCGTGGGTTTTTCTTCATAAAAAATGACAAACTGTTGGCATAACAAACATCTAAATATACAAACTAAGAATGGAATTCTGACACTTTTGTGAGAGAGCCATTCATATTGGATAGCATTTTGCACAGTGCCCTACTACAGTATTCCAGCTGCAAAACCAGGAAAACTCACTTCATGATATCACAACATAATACAGTATTTTAAAAAACCCCTCATTTACTTAAGTTTTTTCAGAGATGTTTTGTAAAGCTGCTCTTCTGTTCTTAGAGAGTTCACACACACAAGAACTTTAGAACTCAGTGATAAGAATGTTCCCCCCATCTTCAAAAAGGGCAAGGAGAAGGACCTAGGAAACTCCCATCTGGTCAGCCTCAACCTCTATCCCTGGAAAGGCGGTGGAACAGGGTATTCTGAAGGTATCACCAAGCATATAGAAGAAGGTCATCAGGAGCACTCAGCATGGACCCACCAAGTGGAAATCCTGTTTGACTAATCTATGATGACATGGCAGGATGGGGCAATGAGGGGAGAGCAAAGAGTGTTGTCTGCCTTGACTTCAGCAAGGTTTTTGACACTGTCTCCCATAATCCCCTCGTAGGAAAGCTCAGGAAATGTGGGTTGGATGAACAGACAGTGAGGGGAATCAAGAACTGGCAGAGCTCAGAGGGTTGTGATCAGCTGAGCAGAATCCAGCTGGAGGCCTGTAGTCACTGGCAGCCAGGGATCAATGCTGGGTCCAGCCTGATCCAACTTGTTTATCAATGACCCAGATGAAGGGATGGAAAGGACCCTCAGGGAGTTTATCTGCTGGAGGGTAGGAAGGCTCTGCTGAGAGATCGGGATAGGCTGAATGAATGGGCCAAGAGCAACAGTGCGAGAGTCAACAAGATCAAATGCCAGGTGCTGCCCTTGTGACACAACAAATCCCATGGAACACTCCAGACTGGGGAAAGAAGGGCTGGAAAGCTGGATAAGGTCCTGGGAGTGACAGCAACTGAAAATGACCCCAGGTGCACCAAGGTGGGCAGGAAGGCCAGTGGCACCTGGTTTGTATCACAAATAGTGTGTCCAGTAGGCCCAGGGCAGTGCCTGTCCCTGTGCTGGGCATGGCTGAAGCCTCTCAACTCCTGTGTTTCAGTCTGGGCCCCTCAGTTCAAGAAGGACATTGAGGGACTGGAGCATGTCCAGGGAAGGGAATGGAGCTGGGGAAGGGTCTGGAGCACCAGGAGCAGCTGAGGGAGCTGGGAGGGGCTCAGCCTGGAGAAAAGGAGGCTCAGGGGGACCTTCTCGCTCTCTGCAACTCCCTGACAGGAGGGGGGAGCCAGAGTGGGGTCAGGTTCTGCTTCCAGGCAACAAAGGACAGGACAAATGGAAATGGCCTCAAGCTGTGCCAGGACACGGTCAGGTTGGACATCAGGAGGAATTTCTTGCTGGAAAGGCTCGTCAGGCATTGGAAGGGACTGCCCAGGGAGGTGGTGGAGTCCCAGTCCCTGGAGGTGTCCAAGGAACTACTGGACTTGGCACTCAGTGGTCTGTGCTGGGTGACAAGGTGCGGTTGGGCACAGGGTGGACTCAATGGGCTGGGAGGGCTTTTCCAACCTCAATGATCCTGTGATTTGCCAATGATTCAGAACTGGGGCAGTGGCTGATCACCTGAAGGCCGTGTTGTCATTCAGAGGGACCTGGACAGGCTGGAGAGTTGGGTGGAGAGAAACCTAATGAGGTGCAACAAGGGCAAGTGGAGGTCCTGTACCTGGGGAGGGATGACCCCAAGGACCAGCACAGGTTGGGGATGACCTGCTACAGAGCAGCTCTGTGGAGAAGGACCTGGGGGTCCTGGTGGGTGACAAGTTGGCCATGAGCTGGCAGTGCCCTTGGGGCCAAGAGGAACAATGGGATCCTGGGGTGCATCAGGAAGAGCGTGGCCAGCAGGTCAGGCATGGGATCCTGCCCCTCCGCTCAGCCCTGCTAGGGCCACATCAGAATAGTTTGTCCAGTTCTGGGCTCCTCAGGACAAGAAAGACCAGGAGATACTGGAGAGGGTCCAGTAGAGGCCACAGAAATGATGAGGGGTCTGAAGCATCTCCCTAATGAGCAGAGATTGCAGGAGCTAAGTCTGGAGAAGACTGAGAAGGGATTCCATCAATCCACACAAATATCCCCAAGGAGTGTCAGAGGATGGTCCCAGATTGTTCAGTGCTGCCCAGTGACAGGACAAGGACCAAAGGCCATAAACTCAAACACAACAAGTTGCCCCCCAACATGAGGCGGAACTTCTTTCCATGGAGGTGGCAGAGCCTGGAACAGCTGCCCAGGGAGGGTGTGGAGTCTCCCTGTCTGGAGACATCCCAAACCCACCTGGACTTTCCCTGTGCCACCTGCTCCAGGGGACCCTGCCTGGGCAGGGGATTGGGTTGGGTGGTCTCCGAAGGTCCCTTCAACCCCAAATATCCTGGGATTCTGTGAACTTGAACAAACATTTCAGATGTTGAGTAATTCCCCCCAGTTGCTATATATCTGTGAATTTAAATCTGTCTAAACACACATCTTCAAGCTATGAAAAATCGCATTGCTCGCCCTATATTCATTTCTATTTAGATAGTTCACTTTCAAGGTTCACATCTTCCAAGCTCAAAAACATATCCCACTGCGCAGAATATTAAGCAAAAGTGGCTGAAAGCCAGCGTGGATATAATGGTCAACAGGATGTGCACTTCAAAGCCATGTGGAATGACATACCTGTGGTACCAGGCACTTCTTTTGCATAGAAGTCAGTAATCAGCTGGAAAGCATGGCTGTATTCAAAATTGAGGTTTTGCATCCTTTCTATCCTAATTCTGTCATCCTGTAACCTGCAAAAAAAATCATGTTACTTTCAGTTTGTTATGCTCCCTTCACCAAGAACACTGAAAGTTACAATGGTGCGCTTTCCTTTGTCTTTCCTTTATTAAGAATTGAATGGGTAAAGAATGAAGAGATGAGCTATTTAAGTGGGTTGAGAATATTTCTAAGGGTGTTTTTTTAAAATGATCCTTCTAACCATTGTAAAAGTGTAAACAATAATTAAAAACAAAACAGCAACAGTGAACAAGCCCAAAAGAGACTGCAAGAGGTTGTTTAGTATACCTGCAAGGCAGATACAAACATGATTTCACCAATCATAACAAGCATTTGCCTTACCTGTTTTTAAAGACTTATGTTGATCAAACAGTTAAGCAATTCTTCTATGCTACCATATTTAATTATCCTTTACATTTAAAGATTTTGTTCCATGTGGTAGAACTCGTCACGTGAATTTACTTGCATTTTTCCTGTATGCAGCTTAAATGAAGTGTTCTGTCCTTTACTTCCTAACTATTTCAAGACCTTTCCTTACGCTGAAGGACTTGATTTCTCTCAGTCCTTTAGCACTCCAGGCAGTCAATGATGATATTACTGGCAACCTAGTCCTGCCAACATGTCAGCAGTTCCTCCCAGTTTAACGCTGCCAGCAAACTCTACAGGATGCAACTTTTCTACATTGGCTGCTCTTCCTAACTGCTCAGTGAAATTAAGTTCAGATGCTGCATTATCAATTCAATTTTTACAGCTGTTAATACAAAATTAAACAGATACAGTGATTAACAAGAAACAAAAAAAGAGGGCACACAGTGTCCCTGCCACCTGTGAGCACAATTACACAGCTACAGAAGGAGAAGGAGCAGCAGCCAGTAGAAAGCTGCCAGTAAAAGACATACATAAAACCTACTTAGCCACAGAGTATCCACTCTCAAACCACCGCGGGACGTCAATTAACCAAGTACTTCGAGCATTGGAATCATGCCAATGAGAAGGATTGTGTAGGTATTATAGGATGGAAGTTAATCAATACCCTTTTTGCACGGCTTTCTGACCTCACAGGAACAAACAAGCAGACAGATTCTCTGTATTACATTCTGCATATTCCCACCTGAAAGGATTAATACATCTCTGAGGCTCGACTGATAAATAGAAGAGTTAATTTCCACCACACATGTCAACCTAAGTGAGTCTTAGAGGTCTGACTTCTCTCAGTGCATCCCAGATGATCCTTCCAGTGCCTTGGTTTTAACTGACTGATCCAATTAAGTTTTCAGTCTTTATACCCTCTGGGATTCCCCTCTTCCCAGCCTTTCTCAGAAGGAGCAAACATTTTAAATCAAGTGAAAAGACAATTGGCCCGTGTTCCTCAACCTCCAGTAACAATCAGCTGGTTTCTTGCTTGTGTTTCTTCACTTGCTTCAACCTCCACTAATAATCTGCTCTAACATATTCCTGCCTTTTGCTAAATTAGTATGTGTCCTCACTACAGCCACTCAAAAAAACACCACTTCAGCACTAAACTATTTACAATGTGCTGTATGGTACCTGGAGGTGAGCACAAACCTTTGGATCAGCCCTAAAAGACAGCAGGGCTTTTCTGTGGAACATGTCTGAGTTGGGACTTGGAGAAGTCTTTCTAAAAGAGGATTTTTTCATTTCTACCTCTTTATGTTTTAATAACACTGACTTCAGAAAAGCAAGGCTTAATAAGGTCTGCAGAACTCATTTTTAAAACCAAAGTCAAACAGAGGAGGATCTGGGGGAGTATCTCACGGGATAGTTCATGCCACACCTGTCTGTTCATAAAGTAATGTTTAAAAATCAGTTGGTGTAATTTCTTTAATTCCTTTGTGTGTTTTTTTCATTTCATAATCATATTTATCCAACTCCTTAGCATAAACTTTGGAAAATGATAGTTACAACAATAAAACAATATAACTTGTGTGACCTCTTATAGCAGTATTTATATTTGCCAGCTATATCAATGGGAAATAGTTGAAGTTAGAATTGAACAACTCAATGATCTGCAAAAAATTCACATATTTTGATATTTATATTCTATATATGTCAACATCAAATAAATAGGACACTTCTTCTATCTGAAAGTTTGCATCTGATATTCTAAATAAGTTAAAAAATAGGAATTTATAGATCCAACCTATGGAAAAATCTGAATTTTTATCAAGATGTATGAAAATAAAATTTTCTGCAGAAGGATTTCATGCCTGTCCTTTGTGTCGCCAGATGATCACCCGAAGGCCATTTTCCTGATTATAGCCAGGATGAGATGTTGATGCTTATCTCTCCAGCTACCAATGCCTATTTAAATCAGAAGTCAATTTGCCATCAACTTTTGTAAACATCATTCCTGTCAGAACATCTACAATGAACTGCAGCTCAACTCATATTTTACTGATATCCTTTCCAGCACTCTGAGAACAAGCAAACCTCACAATCCCATGACACCAATAGGGTTGCTCAGGGAGGAAACTCAGTTTCTCAAAGCTTTTCTACTTCCTTTGCCCAGTTTCTCCTGCAACCACCCTTATCTGAATACTGAGAGAACAGAGAGGTTTCAGGGTTTCCAGCTGTCAGCTGATGGTACAAATGAACCCACAGAGCTCCTCATTAAAATTGGACTTGATGTAGAACTGTCTCTCCTCACAAGGTGAGTTATGGAAGTTGCTCCAAAGGACTATTAACAGACACAGTTAAGAGCATGAAATCAGTGTGTTCATAAACAGATGCAAAAAGATCCTAAAATACACACATTTACACATTTTTGTGTACATAATGTAATATGTACATTCTAACCTATGTTGTTCTATGATTCTGTTATCAGAGGGACTAATTTATCTGTCACCCTGCTGGGAAAGTGAAAAAGGACCAACATTGCTGGGTTTAATCCCTCCATTTATCTGACAACTTGATGTATCCAGTTAAACACTCATTGCTTACCAAGTGCTGCAGGAAAGATATTTAAAAAGAGATCACTCAATTTGGGGGAGGGAAGAGGAATCTCTTAAGAAAAGCATTTATAAGAAATGCTAGAAGCTAAAAGAAAACAACATAAATAAAAATAATTTACAGAAACTGACTCCAGATATTTAAAAAATAATACAATCTTTTATTAAGAATGAGCTTGCATTAAGCACAAGAGCTAACTGCAGCGTTCTAAATAAAACAGGAGTCACTTCAATAGTGCTCTACAATTCACAATTAAACAGGCATAAAGCTCAGGAAGTCTTCCTAAGGAGTGCAAATAAATCCAGAATTCTACCTTTCAGCTACTGTTCTGCTGTGCTCATTCTGCTTTAGGGCTACTCAAACGCAGGGGCACAGGCATCAAAACATTACTATACAGCCCTGTATCATATAAGGATACAAGGACATGATGCAGAATTTGTGAAGCTCTCTGCTGCTAAAATTTAGTGTGGCATTTTTACTTCTGATGCTAAGCACAGACCTGTGAAGGGCAAATTATTTATTTAGTTTTTCCTATACAATATATTCCAATTGCTCCTTTCTCTGCTGGGACGACCCGTCTGTCACTACAGGGGAAAAAAAGCCTGCACTGCCCAGCAGGGCAAGGCAACCCAAATGCATTAATCGTTTCAGAAATACAAGCACATCGTGTCATTTTCCCTTATTAAGGTGCTTAGCAGAAACTTCATTTCCTTTACTTGTCATCATTATGTTACCTTTGCTTCTAGCTCAGGTTTGAATTTGTCAGTGGGAACTGGACAACAATCATCCTTCCTTTTTTGGGACATCTTGGCATGAAACTCCAGTAGCTTCTCTGGCACAGCCTCAATGACATTTCCAAGCAGTTGCTGTTTTGGCACTAAACACATACATTTTTATAAGCACAGCTTTTGTCTCCTGTCAGAGTAAAGTACTTTCCCACATTTGCTTCAGGCAACCTTCAGATACCAGAGATGGAGACACTTGTTGCAAGAAAACAGCAGCACAGTCACCCCCTCTGAGTATCTGATACAAATCTCTGCTGTCCACAAAAACCAAACAGCAATTACCACATAGATGTTATCAATATATCACATACAACACATTACCCAACAGGACCTACAGCTTTTCACATGTCCCATCCCAAAACCATTTTTTGGGGTCAGAGTTGCTTCCAGGCTTTTCAGCAACACTGACACACTCTAATATATATACACACATACATATATGTTACACACAAACATATACACACAAGACAAAAAACTTGCTTTCCTTTTTCTATCCAAACTTCAAACATTTTTCAATATCCTCATTTTCTCAGGAAGAACTGCAACTGAGAAGAACTCCAACCATATCAACAAGCCTAGGGTCTGGATTCAGGGAATTTGAAGAAAACATTCCTGTAGCTTTAGGAACTCCTGTGCAAGAGCTGCCTAGGAAATGGAGCAGAGGCTGTCAGAAAAGCAAAGGGCAGAGGGTTGTGTAGGCACTGTGTGACACTGCATCCCTTCTGTGAGGACAGAATTAGGTAGTACAGGACAAAACACAGACAGTTGTGCTGCAGCAGCTTCTGCATCCATAAATAGACACAAATCTTAAGGTTCCTTCCATCTGCCTGTCCAAAGAAAAGGATGAGACGAACTGCACTCATGTCTTGGAAAACCTAGTAGAAAAGACCAAGAACTGCTAGGAAAATATTTCTAAGCACACAGAAAAAAGCAAGGTCTCATAACTGATCTACAGAAGCTTGATTTACACAAAAGTGCTCATTTCAGAATGGGTACAAAACCAGCTGGAGCACAATACTCAGAATGGTACCAGGGGTGCACTGCCAAAATGAAAGTATGCGGTTTGCAAAGCTCCACAAAGCTCAACTGTGCCTGGGACACTCAGTTCTTCAGTGACCACTCGGGCACTGCAAGCGGGCACAACTCCAGTCCATTTGCACAGGGTATGAAACTGAAGTGGCTGCAAAGAACTATAGAAAACCAGAACTGAGCTCAAAACGGAGTAGAGAAATTACTTAAAAGTTACATGTTTTGTCTGT